GAGCCACATGCTAACTGGCTGACTCCAAAGCGCAAGCTGTTGCCCACTGCGCTTCTCCGTGGCAAGTGAGGGTAGAGTGAATATACTCAGCCAAAGCTGAGGGGTCTTTTAGTAATTAATAGAAAACAAGATTAGAGAGGTAGGGTGAACAGACATTAAGGAAAGCTTTGAAAACCAGACGAGGAGCCATTGAAGATTTTGATAGGAAAATGGCTTTTTTTGTTCTAGTTACAATAAAGCATTCTTGTACATAATTAGGCTGTTCTTATCTAACAGTTGCATATATTAAATGAAATAAATAGTCTATGAAAGCACTTAGCAGAATGCCTTGGGCTCGTAGTAGTCACTCAAAAAATGTGAGTTGAATCTGAATCCTGTAAAGAACTCGTTAAGCTCTTTGCACTGTAGATAAGGTATGAGACAGGAATCCGTAACAGCTCTGTACAGTAGAAGTATAGTGTGAACCACAAATGAAACTTAATTTTCTAGTAGCCACATGAAAAAGTAAAACGAAAGAGGTGAAATTAATTTTAATAATATATTTTCTTAAGCCCACTTAATAAGATATTTTATGTATTTTAGTACAAAGTTTTCAAAATGCATTGTGTATTTTACACTTACAGCACACCTCAATTCTGACTAGCCACGTTTCATGTGCTCAGTAGACTCGTGTGGCTAGCGGCTGCCCAATTGGACACCTGAGCTCCATAGTTTGATAGCATGGAATCTGGTGTCAGATGACCTGGGTTTGAATCCTGCCATTCCATTTCTTAACTGTGTGAGTATGGGCCGGTTACTTAACCTTTCTGTACCCTAGCTTCTTGAAACATAAAATGAAAAAAGTAATACTACCTAACTTAAAGAATTATGAGATAATATATGTAAAGCATATAACTTGGTTTCTGGCAAGTCATAAGTGCAAAATAAATGTTTATTAATTTCATCACACTTTTATTTTTGTCATGAAATAGCAAGCATCTCTAAGTTTCTCTCTTCTTACCGCCAATAATTGATTATCCTCACCTAAACATTCTACTTTAGATTCTAAACCAATAGCTAAATAGCAAAGGACAATTGATGAACCAGAAGAAAAAAGGTTGTGAGTGTTATATATGTGGCATTCATCTCTGCTGCTACTACTACTGGTGTTTCCCTGTAGGATGCAGATAAATTATTTTCAACTTGCTGTTATACTTAGCGGACTCATCAGATCTTTTGACTTTTTAAACCTAGAGTCATTATTGATGCTGCTTTTACCAGGGAATAAAATTCATGTCTAATGATAAATTACAACTTCACCGCCAACGTTGAAATATTTCATTGTCTTTTCTACTCTCAGCCATTTAGGGCCAAGATATATAGATACATTGTTTTCTTTCCTTCTGTTTAGACCTTTAGAGGAAAGTGCACAAAACTGAAAAGTACAGCGATTTATCACACCCTCTTGTGTAACTATCATGTAGATCAAAAAATAAAACATTGTTGGACTGGCCCGTTGGCTGAGTGGTTAAGTTTCACATGCTGTGCTTCAATGGCCTGGGTTTGCGGGTTTGGATCCCAGGTGTGGACCTACCCCACTTGTCAACCATGCTGTGTCGGTGGCGCATATATAAAGTGGAGGAAGACTGGCACAGATGTTAGGTCAGGACTAATCTTCCTCAAGCCAAAAAAGAGGAAGAGTGGCAACAGATGTTAGCTCAGGGCTAATCTTCCTCAGTAAAATATAAAATAAAATAAAATAAAACATTGTCAATTCTCTGGAAGGTCCCCTTGTATCCCTAGCATTCAGTACCCCTCCCACCTACCTCCAAAACTAATCACTGTCTTGATGCTCGTGCTAATTACTTCCTGCCTTTTCTTTATAATTTTACCAACTAAGTATGTAGTCCTGATCATTGTAGTTTAGTTTTGCCTGTTTTTGAATTTTATGTGAATGAAATTATACATAGAATTCTTCACTCAACATATTGTGAGTTTCACCCACATTCTTGAGTGTAGCAGGAATTCATTCACTTTGATTGTTGTATAGTATTTCATTGTAGGAATGTACCACAGTTTGTTTGTGCATTCTATGATAGATAGATGGTTGTTTTTTTCCAGTTTGGAGCTATTATAAACAGTGCTGTTATGAACATTCTTATGCATATAAGCATGTATTTCTGTAAAACACAGTCCAGGATAGAATTGCTAGGTCATAGAGAATGCAGTCTTGAGCTTTTATAGATAATGCCAAACTTTCCAAAGTGGTTCTACCAATTGTCATTTCCACCAGTGGTGTGTGAGAGTTTCCATTGTTGTACATCCTTAACAAAGAAAATTGTCATTTTTTCCAATTTAATCATTCTGGTAGGTATTTAATGATATTTCATTGTGTTTTTAGCATTTTTTTCTGCTAAGAAAAATTCAGTTAGAAGTTTCTGAAAATATTGACTAAGATGAAGCTCTTGGTTTTCCATTTTCCATGCTGTCCCTGTCTTTCAATACCACAATCAAGAGTTGATACTTGTTGGAAAGAGCATTTTAAGTTTTAATTGGATGCATGAAAGCAGTTAGTTTGAGATATTGCCCAATATTCTTTCTTTATACTTTTTACTGGCTTATCTAAAAAACAGATGTATTATTTCTCTTCATAATTATTAAGCTGCCATTCCAGGAATCATAACAATTACTGAAATGAGACGTATGGTCTGTGGTTTATGAAGTTGGATGGAATGAGTAAATCTTTCCAGTTCCTCTGAGCCATTTTTCTGTGTTAGATTTTTTTTTTTAATAAATCACAGCCATGGTCACTGATCTGGATGACATTGAATGGCTGGTTCCTGCTGAGTGAAGTAAAACAGACTTGTAACAGCTCACGGGTAATGTCTGAGAGGCAAAGTGGCATACGATAAATGTCTGTGTTTTGCTCTGAAAATAGCAAAAGGCTTATGGAACTAAGATTTAACTTAATTGACTTATAATTTAATCCTGCTTTAAAAGTGCTTTGGCATAATGAAAATTGCACTGTGATTTCTTTTTGCACAATTAATAGTAACAATGGAAAATAATTAAGAAGATAAAGGTTTGAAAATTGTACATGCCTATTCAATTTTATAAATAATTTCAAAGTTTGTGCAATTTTTTAAATCATATATGCACTGATAGGGAATAATGGGATTTTTTTCTGGATAATTGAATGTCCAGAAATATCAGTTTTATAGCTATTTATAAGTGTAAAGCAGTTATGTTGTTTTGTTCTCAAGTTTGATGAAAAAATTTAAATTTCTAAAAAAACATGTATTTTTGAAAATAGAATAATTTAACTTCAAATTTTCTTCCATTAATAGCCTTTGAGTAGCAAAAGAATTTTAAGATGACAAGTTAGATACTTTAAAAGGATTGATGTAGGGGCCAGCCCCATGGCTGAGTGGTTAAGTTTGTGTGCTCTGCTTCGGTGGCCCAGGATTTCACTGGTTCAAATCCTGGGGCGTGGACATGGCACCACTCATCAAGCCATGCTGAGGTGGCGTCCCACATGCCACAACTGGAAGGACCCACAACTAAGAAAATACACAACTGTGTACCGGGGGGCTTTGGGGAGAAAAAGGAAAAATAAAATCTTTAAAAAAAATAAATAAAAGGATTGATGTAAACTTCATCTGAAAACAATTATAGTTTAAACTTGGAAGATGAATGGTTAAAATGTCAAATATGGTCCCACCAAATATAACCTAGGAAAAAAATATGCTCCATGTATGGTTATTTTTGATACTTAATAGGAGTGAAGCTTGTACCAATTACAGCTTGTTAGCTCTATGCTTGGCTTAGAGATTGGAATATAAATTGGTTGCAAAACTTTTGAATTTAAACTAAATTAACGGTTTGGATTAAAAAATCTACACTTCCTGTATAGAGTCACAAAATGTCTGTGTTTTCTGGTGGTTTGGGGGTTTTAAATAGGACTTGGAAAATTTCTGGTAAAGGCAATGAACTTTATTTTGGGGAAAATGATGGACTAGAAATTTGAATGAATGAAAGCCAAAGAGATTTCTGGTTTCTTTTTAAAGAAGATAAAGTATCTGACAAATTTAGCAGATTGAGGATCAAAATAAGAAAAATCTGTATATATTTTGTTCTTTGCTTTTCACATTTGTGATGAATTTTGAAGCATATCCGTCCGTTGTTTGCTACGATGCAGTCACATCTGTAAGCAAGTAAACGTTTATTTGAAACTTGAAGGTTAACAGATTCCTGATGACAGTGTATGAACATGCTGCCCCCCGCGTTCAGAGAGCTGTGTGTTAGTAGGTAGGCTGTCTTGGATTGGCCAGATTAACCATTTTCACATGTATTTAAACTTTTTTCAGCCCTTTAAAGTCATTGGGGCAAGTATATATGACCCTCAAGTAAGCAAAGTAAACGTCAGGGACCAGATCTGATCATTTTTGGCCTTTCAGTGTTTTAAAGTAGGCCTTTAAAGACTGAAGAACTCGGATGTATCTTCTTGAATTGTTTTAATTGATCCACTCATACAAGTCTACTGGCTAGACAAGATTTTATGTTAGTAGTTCATTTAACTTGAATGGAACCTACCAGTTCACCCAATTTGGGCAACGCCACTTGCAACTAAATTGCTTTGTTTCAAACTATCTGTGGTATATGCTGATTTTACCATGTATGGTAGATAATCCAACTCAGTTGTTATACACCAATTTAAGTTATTATCTACTCAAAAGCTTTTTAAATCTGAAATTAAGTTTAATCCCTTTTACAGTAAAAATGTCTGCTTTCCAGCACTTTCTCCTCTGTATGGCGGTGTTTCAGAATCAGCTAAACAGTGAATACAGATTTGAGAGTCTTGTCAGATTATATGCCGTTGATTTGTGTTTTCCTTTTAGATTCCAGTAGTCTAAAGAAAGACTGAAGCAAAACAAAAACAAAATCAAAACCAGCTAAAGAGTATGAAATATGGCGGTGATAAAGCATATCAATTTCTCAAATTTTCATCTTTTATTTTTCAGATAAGGATACAGATATCACCATGAAGGGGAATGTAGATGACTTTGGCCTGCGAGACACTTTGAGCATCGCATCAACCGACTCCTTTGCTTCAGCAGCAGAGGTAGGACATGTATGTCCTACGTAATGGCGATTTCTCATTCTTTTTCAGCTGGAGAAGTACAGTTGTGACATTGTGCTGTAATTCAGTTCAGTAGCCATTTATTTAGCATCTACTATGTGGCAGATACCAGGATACAAATATGAGTATAACAGGAATATATGTTCCCACGGGAGCTTGTAGTCTCTTTAGAAAGATAGACGTGTAAACATGTACTTTAGGTGGGCGTTTTCATATCCTGTGCATTATGAGTGAAGCAGGTAAGTATCTTAATGGAAAGCATTTCACCTTATATCAAGAGTCTTAAAAACGTTCAGATTCTCTAGTTTAGAAATTGTACTTCTAGATATTTTTTTCCAAGGAGGTGCTCAAATTCAAAGATTTATATATAAAAATATTCACTGTGGCGTTTTAATATTAAAGAAAAACTGGAGGGGGCTGGCCCCGTGACCGAGTGGTTAAGTTCGTGCGCTCTGCTGCAGGCGGCCCAGTGTTTCGTTGGTTCGAATCCTGGGCGCGGACATGGCACTGCTCATCAAACCACGCTGAGGCAGCGTCCCACGTGCCACAACTAGAAGAATCCACAACGAAGAATGTACAACTATGTACCGGGGGGCTTTGGGGAGAAAAAGGAAAAAAATAAAATCTTTAAAAAAAAAAAAGAAAAGAAAAACTGGAAACAGTCTAATGCCAAATTATGGTACATCCATAATTTGAAATATTGTAATGCCATAAACATGTTTCCAGTCATTTTTAATGACATGGGAATATGTATTAAGTGCAAAGAGGGGTATGTAAAGCTTTATAGAGGGCATGATTGTAATTTTGTAGTAAGAAAAGAAACGTGTGTGGTATATAAGTAGGCAGAGAAGGCTAACTATAAATACTCTAATGTGTAAACAGTGGTTTTATAATTACTGAATTATAAATTTATGTGTAATTTGCTTACAACTGAGATTTAAATTTTATATTAAAAGAGAATACTTGCAAAGTGGTCATCTTTTTATAATTCTTCCTACTTAAAACAGTTTTAAAAATCACATATGGCCAATTTTATCTTAGCATAATTTCATTTTTATGGTCGATTTTGGAGATTAGTGCTATCTTTTTTTCATGGAAATGGTATCACACATCTGTAATTGATGTGTGAATTCATGCTTTGTGTGGAAAACTTTAGATATTCCAATACCCTGTACCTAAGCCTTGAGTCTGCTTTTTTTTTTTCTGGCTGAGGAAGGTTTGCCCTGAGCTAATATCTGTTGCCAGTCTTCCTCTTCTTTTGGCTTGAGGAAGATTAGCTATAAACTAACATCTCTGCCAGTCTTCCTCCACTTTATATGTGGGTCGCTGCCACAGCATGGCTGACGAGTGGTGTAGCTCCCCATCCATGATCCAAACCCATGAACCCAGGCCACCAAAGTGGAACATGCTGAGCTTTACCAGTATGCCATGGGGCCAGCCCCTTGATTCTGCTTTTTTTAAAGCTGTGCTGACCATAATCTTTCATTCTCTCAAGATTTTTCTAAATATGTATATTTTGGCTGTTGTTTACAGTATCATCTCCTAAACTGTTTGTTTTTCCTTATATTTTTATACTTGTAAGTTTGCAATACACAGAATATATTTATGTTTTTTATGGAACAGCTATTTCCTCTTACTTTTACTATTTGATATAGACAGGCTTTTCTTTCTGTCCCTTTTTCTTGATGTTTTATTTTTTTTCCAGCTTTATTGAGATGTAATTGACATATAACATTGTGTAAGTTTAAGGTGTACGATGTAATGATTTTTGATACACATATATACTGAAATAATTACCACAATGTTAGTTAACACCTCCATCTCTCACATAATTGCCATTCTTTCTTGTGTGTGTGGTGAGAACATTTAAGATTTACTCTCTTAGCAACTTTGAAGTATATACTATAGTATTGTTAAGTATAGTTGTCCTGCTGTACATTAGATCCCCAGAACTCATTCGTCTTCTAACGGAAGTTTGTACCCTTTGACTGACATCTCCCCCATTTCCCCCACCCCCCAGCCCCTGTCAGCCACCATGCTACTCTCAGTTTCTATGGGTTTGGCTTTTTCAGATTCCACATGTAAGTGAAATCACACAGTATTTGTCCTTCTCCGTCTGACTTATCTCACTTAGCATAATGCCTTCCCTTCAGGGTTCGTCCATATTGTCACAAATGGCAAGATTTCTTCTTATGGGTGAATTATATTCCATTGTATATATATATAAATATGTGTGTGTGTATATATATATATGGTCTCTCTCTCTCTCTCTCTCTCTCTCTACATATATATATATGCACACACACACACATCACATCATCTTTATCCATTCACCTGTCAATGGATACTTGGGTTGTTTCCATATCTTGGCTATTGTGAATAATGCTGCAGTGAACGTGGGAGTGCTGGTATCTCAAGATAGTTATTTCATTTCCTTTGGATATATACCCAGAAGTGGAATTGCAGGATCATATGGTAGTTCTGTTTTTAATTTTTTGAGGAACCTCCACGTTGTTTTCCGTAGTTGCAGTACCAAATTACATTCCCAAGAACAATGCACCAGGGTTCCCTTTTCTCCACATCCTCACCAGCACTTATCTCTTGTATTTTTGATAATAGCCATTCTAACAGATGTGAGGTGATACCTCGTTGTGGTTTTGATTTGCATTTCCTTCGTGATGGGTGCTGTTGAATACTTTTTCATATACCTGTTGGCCATTTGCGTTTTCTTCTTTTTTTTTTTTTGGTGAGGAAGATTGGCCCTGAGCTAACATCTACTGCCAATCTTCTTCTTCTTGCTTGAGGATGATCATTCCTGAGCTAACATTGGTGTCCATCTTCCTCTATTTTGTATGTGGGATACCGACACAGTATGGCTTGATGAGTGGTGCATTGGTCTGCACCCAGGATCTGAACCTGCAAACCCTGGGCCACCAAAGTGGAGCACATGAACCTAACCACTACGCCACAAGGCTGGCGCCTAGGGAAAACTATTTTAATGAAGAAAGTTATTAAGAAAATAAGATCAGAACTAGTTGGGGAAGTTAAACAGTTTGTGATCATTTGAAAGCTTTTTTCAGAATTACCAGAAAGATTTCTTGCTTATTTAGATTAAAACAAGCCCTGGCGTAGGCTTTCCTCTAAGCTCGGCCAGTCATTTGTACAAGTGATTCACAAGACTTTCCTGTGTAAGCTTTGCCAAACATTGATTTGGAACCACAGCCTTTTTTCTATGAAAAGCCTTTTTTAAATAATAATTTTATTGAGATATAACTCACATCCTATAAAATTCACTTTTTTAAAGTGTACAATTCAGTTGTTTTTAGTATATTCAAGGAGTTGTACAACAGGAAATTTTTATCACCCCAAAAAGAAACTGCCGCCTAGTAGTGATCACTCCCTTCTCTCCTCCCCCAGCCCTCGGCAACTGCTCGTCTGCCTTCTGTCTCCATGGACGTGCCTATTCGGGACATTTCCTACAAGTGGAGTCATACAGTGTATGATCTTTCCCGTTTGACAGTCTTTCACTTGGCATAATGTTTTCAGGTTCTGAAGTCTTTTTCACATTAGGATACCACTGCACTGAGCGCTCCCGAACTTTGCCATCTGTTAAAGAGATTGTCATTTAATAGGTGGAAACTAATATTGCAGAGAGCAATCTTAAGCTGCAGATTCCGATTTCTTAGATATACCACTATGCTATGTGTGTTTGTGTGTTTAATATATAAATTGTAAAGTGCTCTTTAAAGGGAAAATTTTATTTCTTATAATTCAGATACCTCTACTCATTCTCTAAATGGGAGCTTGGAAAGCTTTTGCTATCCCCACCTCTCTGGCTTGATAGCATTCATTTACAGCAATCCACAGTCATACACTAATAATAATATACAAAGTGACAAGGATAAACATTGAGAATAATCGTAATCTGAAAAGGGAGGGCTATCTCTACCATTTACAATTTCTCTTCTGTTTCTTGAATTGTCTTACTTTCTGTGTTCTCTGGGGCTTTCGTTCTTGTGCTGACGGTTTCCTCTCAATGTGGAGGCTTCGTTGGTGACTAGGTTGATTTTCGTAGGTGGAGAGTACGGGTTTACAGAGTTGTTTTCTGTTTGTCTCTCCCATGAGTGCGTGACCAGGAGGGCTAACTGGGTCAGTTTACTTCTTTGAGGTTGATGATTGGCAGGCTTTTCCTTAGGATCAGTGGTCTGGAGACAGAGTAGGCAGGGTGCCCCTGGATACAGAGTGAAGAGGGCCTCGCTCTGGGAGGCCCATCACTCACCCTGAAAGACTTACTCTCCCAAGGTAGTTCAAATAATTTTTAAAGAGGAATGTTCTCTGCTTGAAAATTTGCAAGCCGTCGCCCTGTTCAGAGATGGAGAGAAAGGAGCAGGGAGTAGAATGAGGTGTGGGGCGACTGCAGTTGTTTGGACTCAGAATTTCATTGAATCTCCTGTTTTTAACCCCTCTTCTTCACTCCTGCCCTCGTACCTGCCGACTCGAGGCCTGGAGCTCTTTGAGGCGCTCCTTAGCAGTATCTCCCCTTGACGATATCCCCTCTTGATCTTATTCTGGACTGTTGCTTCCTCTTCTTTCTCATCTGTCCACACACTCCCATTTGCTTTCTAGTTTTTAGAAATTTGTCTGTCTTTATTTTGCTGTTAGTGTTGTTTCCACGATTATATTAGTTATCTTGTAATAAATTACCTAAAACTTAGTGTCTTAAAACATGTAAAAATTCAGATGTGGGCTCAGGGCCAAGGCTCTGGGGCCTGCCCTGGGCTTCAGGGGCACATTCTGGAAAGTGGTATCCCGTGCCCCAGTTTGGGGGTTAATTCCAGGGGTCCTCGATTTCCTATGGATTAAGTCAGGCAGGGAGCATATGTTTGTGTGTTAATCTAGGTTAGAGCCTTTTAAATCCTGGGGTTTCCGTACTTGGGGCTTAATGGAGGCTTAGGTGTTTTAGAAGTTATCTTCTTAAAATTCGAGGTTTATGGGGTGGTTTTCTGGAGGTCTTGGGCCTTAGGGCTAGTCCTGTGAGAACTGAGCCCTAACGGCTAATCCAGGGAGCCTGTTGTGGTATGTAATTCCAAAGCCACATGTCTTAGGTAAGGAGTGACTCCTGGACTGAGCATGCCTGCCAAAGCAGCCAACCATCTTTCAAAATAGGAGGAGGGTCCTGCTGGGAGAAACTGGCAAGAAGCTCCTGCAGTACTACAGGAACAGCGGTCTGGGCTTCACGACACCTAAAGAGGCCAGTGAGGGCACCTACATTGACAAGAAGTGGCCTGTACTGGTAATGTCTCCATCCGAGGGCAGGTCCTGTCTGGCACGGTGACCAAGGTGAAGATGCAGAGAACCATTGTCATCTTCAGGAACTACCTTTACTACATCCAAAAGTCCAGCTGCTTCGAGAATTGCCGTAAGAACATGTCCATGCACCTGTCCCTCTGTTTCAGGGACATCTAGATCAGTGACATTGTGGGTGAGTGCCAGCCCCTGAGCAAGACCATGTGCTACGACATGCTCAAGGTCACCAAGGCTGCTAGCACCATGAAGCAATTCCAGAAGTTCTGAGACTGGACACCTGCCCTTTCTCCCAAACAAAACCAAGTTATTTTCTCATTCAAAAACAGCAACAGTAAACGTTTATTATCTCATTATTTCTGAGGGTCAAGAATTCAAAAGTGGCTCATCTGGGTGGGTCTGGCTTGAGGTCTTCTGTGAAGCTGTAGTTGAGTATATTGGCTAGGGCTGTGGTCATCTGAAGGCTTGACTGGAGCTGGAGAATGTGTGCTCAATACAGCTCACTTACATGAGTGGGGTGTTGGTGCTACCTGTTGACAGAAAACTGAAGCTGCTTACCATATGGACTTTTCTATAGGACTGCTTGAGTATCTTCACAGCACCTGGCTTCCCCCAGAGGAAGTGATCCAAGAGAAAGGAAGATGGAAGCAGTGACTATTACGTTCTAGCCTCAGAAATCACACTCTATCATTCCTACAATATGCTGTTGGTTACACAGGTTAGCCCTGTTCAGTGAATCATTGAGGGCCATTTTGAAGGGTGTTGTGTGTTTATTTCCTTTTTTATTTCTTTTCTATTAGTGAGTTAGGGGATAATATCAGCCTACTTTCTTTAACTTTAAGTCCTGTTTGTAATTTTCAGTGATTGATTGAAAGGAAAATGTAAATGTAAAAAATAGTCCATAGTAAAATGGGTCTTAGCCTGTTTCATGAACCAACTTACAATAGTTTTGGGACGGTAGACATTTCTCTCATGGTTGTTCAGAGCCTTTAGAAAATATTAAGACTTTGGGCCAGCCCCAGTGGCCTAGTGGTTAAGTTCGGTGTGCTCCACTTGGGCAGCCTGGGTTTGGTTCTGGGGTGCAGACCTACACCACTCATCAGTAGCCATGTTGTGGCACTGGCTCACATACAAAAAGAGGAAGATTGGCAACAGATGTTAGCTCAGGGTGAATCTTCCTCAGCAAAAAGAGGAAGATTGGCAACTGCTGTTAGCTCAGGGTGAATCTTCCTCAGCAAAAAAGTAATAATAATAAATAAAAAATATTGAGACTTTAAAAAGTAGTACTTCACATTCAGCAGTAATTGCTTGCTGAGGAAGATAAGGCCCAGTCCCTCTTGCATCTCATGGAGGGCAAGGAAAGAGTAATTAAGAATGTTTGAGGGGCTGGCGCCATGGCCGAGTGGTTCACTTTGCACGCTCCGCTTTGGCAGCACAGGGTTTCGCTGGTTTGGATCCTGTGTGTGGACATAGCACCACTCATCAGGCCATGCTGCACATGCGTCCCACATAGCACAACAAGAGGCGCTCGCAACTAGAATCTACAACTATGTACTGGGGGGCTTTGGGGAGAAGGAGAAAGAGCAGAAGGAAAAAAAAAAAGATTGGCAACAGATGAAAAAAAAAGTTTGAAATCTTCAGCTAATCCTAAAACATTGCTTTCACTGGTTGCTTCATTGATGGGTTTTATCTGTTTGGTCTATTTTTGGTGTTGCTGTTGTCATTGTTGACTGACTTCATGTCTGACCTGGCCATTCTTGTGGTGCTTGTGAGCTACGGGAGGTAACTGATAAGGCGAGGTGGTGCTTTGGTGTAAACCAGTGTAGTATTACTTTTCTTTTTGAAAATATTAAAATGAGTTTTTGAAATGTGCCCTTTTGAGGGAAGAATAATTTAGAAATAAAAGATATTTCAAGTTTCAGCTAGAAAAAAAAAAGTGCTTTTTCATGGTAAATTGCACGTTTCCGTATACTGGGATTAAACTGTGTTACCGACCTCTGCTTCTGAACTAACATCTTGGCTCCAAGAAAGTGTTAATCTTTTTCTGAAACCTTTTAAAGATTTTATTTTTCCTTTTTCTCCCCAAAGCCCCCAAGTACATAGTTGTATATATATACTTTTTAGTTGTGGGTCCTTCCAGTTGTGGCATTTGGGATGCCGCCTCAGTGTGGCTTGATGAGCGGCACCATGTCCACGCCCAGGATCGGAACTGGTGAAACCCTGGGCCGCAGAAGCGTAGCGCGCGAACCCAACCACTCAGCTGTGGGACTAGCCCCTGAAACCTTTTAAAAAGTTTTTGGGAATTTTGTCAAAAAATTCTTCCTATTGGATATATTCTAAAATGAGAATTTAAGCCATCATTTTAGTGATTTCATTTTTGCTTAAAAAATTTTAAGGTTCATGATTTAAATAAATGTTTCTGAGTTGCCATTGTCTCGAGGAGTTGATGATGATGTTAGCTACTATCAAATCTTCAATATGATGTATTTTCACACCTGCAAGCCTATTTTAAGAGACTTATTTAAATGATCACTTTGGCTAAACCAACAAAGAAGCAAGGTAGACTAATAAATCAAGACTTGAGTCTGGAATCTCTCATTGTTGATTTGTTCGTTCTTATTAGTGTAAATTATTTTACATAGAGAGTTTAATTGGAGCCCCAGTTTCCTCCTTCGATTTTTCTCTACTGGTAGGTGTGTATAGATCCTATTTGTCTTGACAGTAGTACAGAACTTTAAACTATTTAATATCTAAAGAATTTTGAAGTTATTTTTAAACCTGTTAGGTTTTTTATTTTTACCTCAAAACCACTTTGCCTTTAAAATACTATATTTTCCTTAAAATATGAGGAGAAATATTACTTAACAGAGAATTTATAGTGTCAGATATTGTCATTTCTGTTTAGTTTTTTCTTCTTTTTTTTTTTTTGCCTCTTCCAACAGACATATTTATACTATCCTAAGTATTGCTGATGCTTAAACTGCTTCCCCTTGGCTTTTGGAGAAGGCTGACAGGGACGTATATAGTTTGATATTTAAGAGTATAAGCTCTGGAATAAATGCCTGGGTTTAAATTCTACCATTTAGTTGTGCTACTTGGTGCAAGTTCCTGCTGATCTAAATCTCTGTTTCTTTATCTATAAAATGTGGATTATAATAGTACTGACTATATGAGTTGCTGTAAAGATTAAATGAGATAATCAAGTGAAAGTATTTAGCGCAGCTCTGGGTGCATGTGAAGTGCATGGAGAAATACTTCCAGAAGAGTAGAGTAAGAATCTCCTCCACAAAAGCAATGAAAACATTGTTAAAAAATTGTCAAAATCAAAAATTTCAGAACTCTGAAAATTAATGAAAGACTCGCAAAAATTCAGGGAGCATTTACTCAAGAAAATGGCTGACTCTCCGTAAGAACAGTGAACTTTGTGGATTTTTAACTTGCTCTATTCCCATCCTTCTCTCCACAGTAGGCTTGAAAACCTACAACTTCACAACTGTGATAACTGTGAAAACCAGGGGCGCAGCAGCCACCGGAAGAAATTCAGTGGCTTTAGAGCTTCTCCCAAAGCCCCGTCCCTAGAGACTCCTCCCCCTTTGACCGGTGTGGCAGCTCCCGGCAGAGCTCCATTCTCAGGCCTTGTCTGCACTTGACTGGACTTAGAGCTTCCTCTGTGCGAGAAGTTTTACCCCTTGGGCCTGTATTGACAACCCTCAGTGACAGTTGTTTATCGTCACAGCTGCCTGAGCTGGTGATACCAGTTAGGGCTAATAAGAGGCTGACCAAAAAACTTAAAAGGAAAAATAGGGCAGTGAGATGTTAACAGGGGGCTTTGAAAAGCTCCAACATGTTCCTGGGAATCTAGAAGGCCACGAGCACGTGCGGGGCTGTGCATCTGTCCAGGAAACTCTTTGGAAGGCCCTAACCCCTCATCTCTGGCAGACCTTGATGTTCTGCACAAGCAAGAGGTAAATGTTACGGCAGACAAAAGAAAAAAATGATTAATTGGAATTTACCAAAAGTAAAAGCTTTTGCGCTTCAAAGAATACCAGCAAGGAAGTGAAAAGACGGTAGAATGGGAGAAAATATTTGTAAATCATATATCTGATGAAGGGCTTATATCCAGAATATGTAAAGGACTTTTACAACTCAATGATAAATGGAAAAATAACCCAATTTAAAAATAGGCAAACCCAATTTTGAATCGATGTTTCTCCAAAGAAGACAAACAAGGGCCAGTAGGACATGAAAGATGCTCGACATCATGAGTCATTGGAGAAATTAAACCACTTTACACCCACTAGGGTGGCTATAATAAAAAAAGATGGACAACAGCAGTTGTTGGCAAGGATGTGGGAAAATTTGAATCATCATACGTCACTAGTGGGAATGCAATATGGTGGGGCCACTTTACAAAACAGTTTGGCAGTTCCTCAGAGAGTTAAACATTAGAGTTACCATCTGACCCTTTCATTCTTAGGTATATACTCAAGAGAAGTGAAACCATAAGAAATGTGTACACAAATGTTCAGACCAGCCTTATTCGTGATAGCCAAAAAGCAGAAACAACCCAAATGTCTGTCCGTTGAGGAATGGATAAACAAAATGTGCTCTATCCATACAAGTCAGCCATAAAAATGAAGGAAGTACTGATACTTGCTACATCGTAGAAGAACCTTAAAAACATCACGCTAAGTAAAAGGAGCCCAACACAGAAGGCCACATATTGTTTGATTCCATTTATACGAAGTTTCCGGAGTAGGAAACTCCAGAGAGATGAAAGTAGATGAGTGGTTTCCAGGGGCTGAAGAGAAGGGGGATGAGGAGCGACTGCTGATGGGCAGGGGTTTCTTGTTAGGTGGTAAAAGTATTCTGGAATTAGAAGGTGGTGCTAATTGCACAACCCAGTCAATATACTAAAAACCGCTGAATTCTGTGCTTAAAAGGGTGAAGTTTATGTTATGTGAATTACATCTCAATAAAGCTATTACTAAAAAACAAAAACCCCTACAACATGCCATGTAAATGGATCACCTGGTATTGGGAAGTAAAATTAAAGGTTTCTTGCTTAGCTTAGTGTTTGCAGTTGTTTTTTAATGAACTGTCAGAAGACTGGAATTTCATTTGTAGAGTTAAGTTATGCTAGCCAGAGGGGCATGACTATTTTTCAGTTACACAAAGGTTAAACAAAGCCACATATAAGAAAAATTTCCTTAGAATTAGCCAAATTGAGATTATTTCAGTGTTTTTGTAGAAGGTTTTACTTCATTTTCAATGTTGAATCATAATACTTTAACCATTCTTTGGATGATAAAATCCTTCTTTCTCTTTCAATGCTTCGTGTTCAGTTATTCTTGGTGGTGAACTGTAAGATACCGCTTTTCTGTGCACTCTGTGGATTTAAGTAGTTGGCTTAGAAATGATCTAAACTGGTAGAAAGTTTTACTCTATTTTACAACTGAGTTTTGATCTTACTAGCTGAATTCAGATCTCAGGAGCTGTAAAATCTTATTGCAGGATTTTTATGGTTTAATCAAATTGAGTGTATTTTGATGTTAGCAAGATCCTATTTTCTATGTATCATAGCTTTCCTTCTCCTATCGGTGTAGTCAGCTTTAACACACTGTATCCTTAGCTTGCAGAACACAGAGAAGTGCGGCATACCTACAGTCTGGAGTCTCTCTGCCACTGCCCTTTTTATGAAGAAGCCATGCATTTAGTCGAAGAAGGAAAAATTTACTCAAGAGTGCTTAGGTACCATTTCAGTTTTGCTTATGTTTATGAAAAATATTAAGGTGCAGTTGCTATGCTTGTGTGATATTTATTAAAAATGTTTATGAGACTAGAGGAAAATATATTTTTAGGCTCAAAAATAATTTTTTTTACGTGTTTTGTCAGTATTGAAAAGACATGTGTTTTGTATTAAGGTCCTGAGGTTAAGCCCTGTTTGAGTCCAGATTTGTAGTCAGCTTGACCTTGAATGCAGTTTAACAGTTGTCTCCCTGTTTATTACGTAGAACTGAAATGTTGGAGTGCCTAGGAGACAGTGATTTTCTTGCCAAACTTCACTGTATTCGACAGGCTTTTCAGGTATTTTTTTTAACATTAAGTGACTTCACCCAGCCGCTCACCACCCCCCATGCTGTAGAGTCCAGCTGCATAAAAACAGGACAGCTCTTTGCTCTTTATTATCCTTCTTCCTAATGGCGAATATCAAGTCTGCTAAGTTTATTCTGCCTGCCTGCTGCTTCCCCTCATTTTTCTTCATTTATCATTGTCCTCTCCCACAGCTTCCCAGTCCCACCATACTTTGTCAAAACAGGACATTTCGATGATGCGGATGTGTACAAATGGCTGCTTAAAAGAAAAATCTTCTTTCTTATTATCAATTAGTGTGTATTCTAGATTGTTTTTTATTTGAATCACTTGTAAAATCATTGATTTCCTAAAATGAAATAAGGTCATTTAACAACAAAATTATCTTTATTTTCCTGTATATTAGGGCTATGCAATGTTTATTTTGGACTTTCTAATATTGAACAGAATTTAAATTCAGATTTATCTCCCTTTAATCTTTTTTGATTATAAGTTTTAAGAGCTCTTTTTATTTGAGTAAATTAGGACTTTTTCTGTGGTCTGCCTGCTGAAATAGTGCGCATACAGTGCCTTGACTATATTAGGGTTATTTATGTGCAGATGGACTGTAAAGTCAAATGTCCATTCAAATTAATTATCAGTCTCCTTTTTCTTTGTTTGGGGATGGGTATTTTTTCAGGTAATTCTTTCAGTAACAGCCAACAGGATATTTCTTGCTGAGAGTGGAAGGAAAATTTTATCAGCGTTAATTGTGAAAGCTCGAAAGGTAAACTTCTTTTGTTGGCAAGTTCTTTATTATTGTTGTTTTAGTTGAACTGAAGATTAAAATCCATTAAATTTTTCACAGAAGAAAAAGTTTTGTTTTCTTTTTTGAGGAAGATTAGCCCTGAGCTAATATCCACCGCCAATCCTCCTCTTTTTGCTCAGGAAGATTGTCCCTGAGCTAACATCCATGCCCATCTTCTTCTATTTAATAGGTGGGATGCCTGCCACAGCGTGGCTTAATAAGCAGTGTGTAGGTCCGCTCCCAGGATCCAAACCAGTGAACCCTGGGCTGCTGAAGTGGAACGCATGAACATAACTGCTATGCTACTGGGCTGGCCCCAAGAAAAAGTTTTTTTAGATAGTTGCAAAGGTTCACATATTAAAACAGATAACCCAAAGAGCGTTGATTTAACTTGTGTTGATTTATTTTCTATGTATAAAGTCCACACTATTTTTATCAAGTTGTTTCTCATAAATTGCTCCCAATTTGCCATGAAGTCTGAACGTCATGGTGAGAATCATCATTAGATCTGCTACCACAACCAGCACTATTGTTCTCTCTAATTCCTCTTCTCTTGCCTCCCTCAATCCTTTTCAGTAAGAACGTTTCAGGAAATAGTGTAGACCTCAGGAATCTTGAAACACAAATTGAGCTGCCTCTTACCCACCTTCATGGGACTGAAGGAGGCGGAAGCAATGACAAGAACTTAACGAAGACTGTAAGGATCCACTTTCCTTTATGCCAAGTGTGTCCAGAGGATGAGAAAAAACAAAATAAAACGGGCCTTCCTTGAGCCATTAGAACACCGGGTTTTCAGACCCAGTCCCTTTGAACCTCACTTCCCTCATTTGTGTGACAGAATTACAGTCATGTGCTGCCTAACAATGTTTTGGTCAATGATGGATCACATATATGATGGAGGTCTCATAAGATTAATACCATGTAGCCCAGATGTGTAGGAGGCTGTACCCTCTAGGTATGTGTAAGCGCACTCTGTGATGTTCACACAATTACGAAATCACCTACTGATGCATTTCTCAGAATGTATCCCTATTAAGCAAAACATAACTGTACATTTATGGTACCCTATTTCAGAGGGTTCTTAGGATAAATAAAATGATAAAAAAGCTAATTCTTTTAAAAGTGTAAGATAAATGTAAGGTGATATTAACTACTTGCAATTCCCACTGTAAATCTTATGTTGCTGCCTTGGCCTTCCTGTGGCAGATAAATGCGGTGATTGGACTAGAGTTCCTCCCAAAGGGGAGGCACTGCGTCAGAAGCATCACATGGTGTCTGCTCTAACCAGGTTTTCATCCTAAGGACTGACCTAAACAGGCATACACATCTGAGTAGTAGGCAGTTTGCTTATGACATTTTACTAATGTTCTTAGTCTTGGCTTCTGCAGAATGTTGGAACAGCAAAATATTAAACCAGATGAATGTGGCATACCTTGAAAATGTATTTGAACCCAGTTGTCTAACAGAATGAAGATCTAACAAACGTACTTGAAGAGTAACTCATTTACTTTGTAGGCTTGAGCCTTGTTATAGAGTTGAGTTTAGAATTAAAGTGTGTTTTCTTTTGCAGAATCCAAAGAAGTTTGAAGATGTTTTTGATGAAATGATCTATTTTTTAGAGCAGACTGATCACTGGGATAGTACTGAAATGGAACTTGCTGCTAGAGGAGTAAGTTCAGATTTTTATGTTTATTCACCTTCGTTATTTACGCATAATATTTACATAATTTGAGGCCACTGTTTCCTTGTCCTTGTTAAGTAACAGTGAAACCAGTTGTGTGGTGGTAGTTATGACAGATTCTTAAACAATGGCAACCACAGTCTTTATACATTAGAGCAACAGTTGAAAAGAATTCTTTTTAAAAAGCCTTTCTGTCCTTCCTTCTTTTCTTTCTCCCTTCTTCCCTCTCTCTCCCTCTCTCCCGTCCTTCCTTCCTTCCAGGAACAAGGCCCTAGCAGGCGGCTTGGGCAGGAATGGTAGCCTGGGCAAGGACAGTTTTGGATGGGACAGTGGGCAGTTCAGTGGGGCCAAGGGATTTTCACAGGATCAAAAGGATAATTAAATATATTGAGAATTATCAGAGCTAGATTTCTCTCTGTTAGGGAAAGGAGGTATAAAAAACTAGGCTTGGATAAAAAAGGACAAAGTTGTCCCATTCACAGCAACATGGATAGACCTTGAGAGTATTATGTTGAGTGAAATAAGCCAGACAGAGAAAGACGAACTCGGTATGACTCCACTCATAGGTGGTAGTTAACGTATGGACAAAGAGAACTGATCGGTGGTTGCCAGGGGAAAGGGGGTGGGGGGAGGGCACTAGGGGTGAAGTGGTGTAACTACAACATGACTAATAATAATGTACAACTGTAATTTCACAAGGATGTTAACTTTTATAACCTTAATAAAAAAACAAACAAACAAACAAACAAAAAACTAGGCTTGGAATTGGAGCTGACAGTGTGAATTCAGTTTACAATATATATAGACATAGAAATAAATATAAAGGTTTGCATATACGTAAACATGCATATACTTCCTAGCTCTGTTCACTGAGGGCGTCTGGGAGCAGCAAGACCTCAAAAGAAATTCCTCCTGACACACAGATCTTGGCTTCTAAGTACCACCCTCCGCTAAAAGAAACTAGGACTTCTTGAAAATGGCGGACTTCAGCACTGGGATAGGGAAAGTACATGCTGAGTCTGGAACATTTTGTTGGAACAGAAGGTTAAAGAAGGAGTTTGCAAGGGGCTGAAAGGCTTTCTAGGCAGAGAAAACAGAAGGTCCAGAGACATCGAGGCATTCATTAACTTTGCTTCTCTGGGTTCCCTCGCTCAGTGAAGGAACCGGCATCCCTTCTGTTGTGCAGACCAGAAACATGGACTCGTCCTTTACACTCCCTGGTCCTGGCCTCCTTTGTCATGGTCATCTCTAAGTTTTGTCAATTTTAACTCCTAAATATCTTCCAGTTTCTTCAGCTTTCCTCTCTTCCTGCCAGCCCGTCATAGTCTGAGTAGCTGCTGTCTTTCCCTGGACTACTTCAGAGTCCTCGCATTCCCTGGTTCCTTGCCTCCTCCTCCCTTCCCACGCTCACTTTCTTCTCTCCACACTGCTGCCAAAATGGCCTTTAAGAAATACAAATCTGATCATCCATCTCCCCTACACCTGTGCCCCCTACAAAATACCATGAGGATAAATCCAAAGTCGTTCACACGAGCCGTAAACTGCAGGAGCTGGCCCTTCCTCCTCATCTCTAGCCGCGTGCCCGTGTCTCTGCCATGGAGAGCTACAGCACCCTCTCAGCGATTTGCTTCGACTCATCATGACTGTGTTCCTTCTTACGTTAAAGTGTTGACAGGTATTTCCTGTATGTGAGATACCTCACTCCCTGAAGAGAGTCCTCTCTACACCCTGTCTAGATTAGGATCTCCATCATAAGCTGTCAGAATACCGTGTGCTTTTTCATTTACTGGGCTTATCACAATTTGTACTTGTGTATTTGTGGGATTATTTGTTTCTGTCTGTTTTCCCCACTGAACTCGAAGCATCTAGTTTACTTACTGCAGAAGTCTGAGCACCTGGTGCAGGATGTAATACAACACAGTCTGCGTGAATGGATGAGAGAGCAAGAGGGTCAAGATGTGGGGAAGACAGGCAGACGTACAGTAACTAATGACACAGCAGAGCGAGCGCTGTGGGTACCATGATAAAAGCCTGAGCCAGGAGTCCTGGGACAGAGTGGAGGGGAGAGGAGTGTCACCTGAGGGGATCTAGGAGGGAACGGCTGTCACAGGATTGGTAACTTTGGGGGTGGGTTGTTTTTATCTTTGTCTCTCCTCTTCCTCTTTCTTTGTCAGAGACAGAATCTGATTCAACTGAAAACACCCTGCTGTTATAAAGGAGGACACCCTGGCTCAGACTTTATTTCAGCTCTATGGAATAATAATTTCTGTTTTATCTCATAATTTAATGCAGGTGAAAAATCTCAATTTTTATGATGTTGTTCTGGATTTTATATTAATGGATTCCTTTGAAGATTTGGAAAACCCACCCACATCCATACAGAATGTAGTGAATAATCGCTGGCTAAACTCCTCCTTCAAAGAAACTGTAAGTGGCAATTTACCTTGCTCAACCATGTAGATTTGAGGAAAGTGGTCAGACCAGGGAAGCTTAGTAAGATGTACATGCATAGCTGCCTGTAGAATGGCTAGTGTGGAAATTGAGCTCAGCCTTGGTGTTGGGATGAGATGTCTGTGTGTGATGGTCTGCAGCAAATTCAGATGAAATTCCCCTTTTGGCTCTTCCGTCAGTCCAGCCTTGACCTGGAGGACCCAGTATTTCTCCAGATCTCGGAAGAACCTCAGGCTTCACACTGGTTTAGGCCTCACAAAGAATTGTCAGTAACTGCAATGGCTGTATGACTGAACTGAAATAAAGCAGTTGCAGTAAAAGGCAACATATGTTTTTTTAGAGGAAAATATGGAGATTTATGTTTCCAAATAGTATCCAAAGTTAGGGGAGGAAAAATAGGCATGTGCAAAAATGAAACATGTTTAAACCATATTCTGTACTTGGAGTGTTTCCACTTTGTTGTTTTTTGTGCTCAAATCTCTATTTGACAGTGTTTTTTTGTTGGGCTTTAAGTGTGTACCTGGAAGCAAATGGGATAGATATTCATGGTGAAGTTTGAATGCCTTTAAAAAAATATTCCAAGTGGCGAGTTCACAATTATTTTGGAAATTCCTGACATTAAATTTTGAGGCATTTTTAATAAATCCGCTTTCCCTCAAAGTATGTTTTAACCATAAGAGTTGCATGTTCTCCATTTCTGTAACTGCTTTGGTTAAGTGATCTTGATCAAAATTGGGTCATGCCAGAGTCAGGTCAGATTCCTTTATGGTCCACCCTGTCATTATGGTTGTATTTCTTAGTTCTTTATTTGAATAAAACTGTTAGCTCTACCCATAACTATTTCTAGCACTACTGTTCTAGAATAAAAAAATGTTACTTTGTCTTCATTATTACACATAAAATGTTTATTGTATATGTGCATCTATATGCACATATTTTCATTCTTTTCCTGTAGGAATAGAATTTAAGAATTCTGAGAACTGAATTATAATTACCGAGTTCCTTGGTACCCGAGGTCACCCTTTTTCCTTTAGTGGCTTTATTTTTAATTTTAAAATTTATAAAAACAAAACACTTTTTCATTAATGTTTACAAACAAGAGAAGGAACCTGGAGTAGTTCTTATTAGTAGTTAATGTTTTGAGCATTTTAGACCCATAAACTTTGAATTTCTAATAAAAATCACTTTTTTCTAAATGGAAAGTTTATACAGTTATAAACTTAAATATTGCCTTTTCTCCTCTGCATATGTCTAGGCTGTGGCTTCAAGTTGTTGGTCGGTGCTGAAACAGAAAAGGCAGCAGATGAAGGTAAAGTTCGTTGCTCCTTGGGCTTCTTTGTTAAGTAATTTGAGGCTCCTGTCAGTTCTCAGTTGGGGGTGGCAGCTCATAAGGACTGTCCCTCAAGCTAGATGAGTGACTTACTGGTACTGTGTTGGCTTCCTTTTTGAATTCCTTCTCCCTCTTCCTTAAGATCCTGTATAGTTCACTATGGCAAGTATTGAGGCATGCATGGGATTTCTACTAAGTGGGAGAGGGTGTAGGGTTGGAAACAGCTCTGATAGAATTTTGTTTTTTCAATTAATGATATTTTAAGATTTTTAAAAAATTGTTTAATATAGTAGATTCCACTTCATGTAATCCAATTGAGAAGTAATGATTTGATTCTAATTGCTGCTTTATTCAACTGAAAGCCCCTGCCAAAGAAACTCTCAAAGTATATATCCTGCTTCCGTGCTGTACACCCTCCAGCCCAACTCACCTGCTATACATGCTCTCACCATACCCTCCTGTGGTGGAGGGCGTGGACTCAGGAGAGAGACTGCCTGCTTTCAAGTGCCACTCACTAGCCATGACCTTGGGCAAGTTGCTTAACCTGTCTGTGCCTTACTTTCCTCATCTCTAAAAAACCGCCTTGGGGCAGACCCGGTGGCACAGCGGTTAAGTACACATGTTCCACTTCAGCGGCCCGGGGTTCAACGGTTCAGATCCCGGGTGCAGACATGGCACCGCTTGGCACACCATGCTGTGGTAGGCGTCCCACATATAAAGTAGAGGAAGATGGGCATAGATGTTAGCTCACGGCCAGTCTTCCTCAGCAAAAAGAGGAGGATTGGCGGCAGTTAGCTCAGGGCTAATCTTCTTAAAAAAAAAAAAAAAATGCACCTCGCGGGGGCAAGTCAGGTGGTGTAAAGGTTAAGTTCTCATACTCTGCTTTGGTGGCCCAGGGTTGACGGGTTTGGATTCTGGGCACAGACCTACACACCATTCATCAAGCCATACTGTGGTGACATCCCACATACAAAATAGAGGAAGATTGGCATAGTTGTTAGCTCAGGGACAATCTTCCTCAAGCAAAAAGAGGAAGATTGGTGGCCAATCTTCCTCACCAAAAAAAAACCCCAAAAAACAAAAAAAAGACACCTTATATCTACCTTCTGGGGTTTTTTGAGGATTAGATGTAAAGTGCTTAGAACAGTGCATTATGCAAGTGTTGGTTATTATTGTATTATTATTTGCCTATCAACCTATAGCATTTTATCATGTCCATATTTCTCAGTCTGATCTTTGTAACTGTGAGATAGTATTGCCAAGTGCATGTTTCCAAAACGTAACCCTCATAGCTCTTCAGAAGGTGCTTGTTAAAAATAATTCCGAACCCACAGCCAACATCATACTCAATGGTGAAAAACTGAAAGCCATTCCTCTGAGAACAGGAACAAGACAAGGGTGCCCACTCTCACCACTCTTATTCAACATAGTACTGGAGGTTTTGGCCAGAGCAATTAGGCAAGAGAAAGAAATCAAAGGAATCCAAATAGGCAACGAAGAAGTGAAACGCTCACTGTTTGCAGGTGACATGATTCTATATATAGAAAACCCTAAAGAATCCATCAGAAAACTATTAGAAATAATCAACAACTACAGCAAAGTTGCAGGGTACAAAATCAACTTACAAAAATCAGTTGCATTTCTATACTCTAATGAACTAACAGAAAGAGAACTCAAGAATACAATCCCATTTACATTCATAACAAAAAGAATAAAATATCTAGGAATAAGTTTAACCAAGGAGGTGAAAGACCTATACAATGAAAACTATAAGGTATTATTGAAAGAAATTGATGATGATGTAAAGAAATGGAAAGAGATTCCATGCACATGGAATGGAAGAATAAACATAGTTAAAATGTCTGTACTACCTAAAGCAATCTATAGACTCAACGCGTTCCCAATCAGAATCCCAATGACGTCTTCACAGAAATAGAACAAAGAATCCTAAAATTCATACGGGGCAACAAAAGACCCCAAATAGCTAAAGCAATCCTAAGAAGAAAGAACAAAGCCGGAGGCATCACAATCACTGACTTCAAAATATATTACAAAGCTATAGTAATCAAAACACCATGTTGGTGGTACAAAAACAGACACACAGATCCGTGGAACAGAATTGAAAGGCCAGAAATAAAACCACACATCTGTGGACAGCTGATCTTCGACAGAGGAGCCAAGAGCATGCAATGGATAAAGGAAAGTCTCTTCAATAAATGGTGTCGGGAAAGTTGGATAGCCACGTGCAAAAGAATAAAAGTAGACTATCATCTTATGCCATACACAAAAATTGATTCAAAATGGATTAAAGACTTGAATATAAGACCTGAAATCATAAACTTCCTAGAAGAAAAGATAGGCAGTACATTCTTTCACATTGGTCTTAGCAGCATCTTTTCAAATACCGTGTCTACTCAGGCAAGGGGAACAAAAGAAAAAATAAACACATGGGACTACACCAGACTAAAAAGCATCTGCAGGGCAAATGAAACCATGAGCAAAACAAAAAGAAAACACACCAACTGGGAAAAAATATTTACAAATCATATATCTGATCAAAAGATGGGCAGAGGATACAAACAGACATTTTTCTTTTTTTTTTTTAAGATTTTATTTTATTTTTTTCCTTTTTCTCCCCAAAGCCCCCCGGTACATAGTTGTACATTCTTAGTTGTGGGTCCTTCTAGTTGTGGCATGTGGGACGCCGCCTCAGCATGGCTTGATGAGCAGTGCCATGTCCGCACCCAGGATTCGAACCGATGAAACACTGGGCTGCCTGCAGTGGAGTGCACGGACTTAACCACTCGGCCACAGGGCTGACCCCCGAACAGACATTTTTCTAAAGAAGATATACAGATGGCCAACAGGCACATGAAAAGATGTTCAACATCACTAATTATTAGGGAAATGCAAATCAAAGCTACAATGAGATATCACCTTACACCTGTCAGAATGGCTGTAATTACCAAGACAAAAAATAACAAATGTTGGAGAGGATATGGAGAAAAGGGAACCCTCATACACTGCTGGTGGGAAGGCAAACTGGTGCAGCCACTATGGAAAACAGTATGGAGATTTCTCAAAAAATTAAAAATAGAAATGCCAGGGGCTGGCCCCGTGGCCGAGTGGTTAAGTTCGCACGCTCCGCTCCAGGCGGCCCGGTGTTTTGTTGGTTCGAATCCTGGGCGCGGACATGGCACTGCTCATCAAACCACGCTGAGGCAGCGTCCCACATGCCACAACTAGAAGGACCCACAACGAAGATTACACAACTATGTACTAGGGGGCTTTGGGGAGAAAAAGGAAAAAAATAAAATCTTTAAAAAAAAAAAAAATAGAAATGCCATATGACCCAGCTATCCCTCTACTGGATATTTATCCAAAGAACTTGAAATCAACAATTCAAAGAGACTTATGCACCCCTATGTCCATTGTGGTGTTATTCACAATAGCCAAGACTTGAAAGCAGCCCAATTGCCCATCGATGGATGATTGGATAAAGATGATGTGGTATGTATATACAATGGAATACTACTTAGCAATAAAAAAGACAAAATTGTCCCATTTGCAACAACATGGATGGATCTTGAGGGCATTATGTTAAGTGAAATAAGCCAGACAGAGAAAGACAAACACGACATGATTTCACTCATATGTGGAAGATAAGCAAACATATGGACAAAGAGAACAGATTAGTGGTTACCAGAGGGGAAAGGGGGTTACGTGGTGGGCATAAGGGGTAAAGGGGCACATATATATTTGATGACTGACAAATAATAATGTACAGCTGAAATTTCACAGTTATAAACTATTATGACTTCAATAAAATAATAAAAAATTTTAAAAGCCACCCCCCCAAAAAAATAATTCTAGAGAACCATATATTTGAATAATTCTTGTTTAAAATGATTCCAGAGTCCCTGTGCTTTAAAGATGCTTTTTTTTAAAAAAAGATTTTATTTTCCATTTTTCTCCCCAAAGCCCCCTGGTACATAGTTGTATATTTTTTAGTTGTGGGTCCTTCTAGTTGTGGCATGTGGGACGCTGCCTCAGCATGGCCTGATGAGCAGTGCCATGTCCACACCCAGGATCTGAACCGGCAAAACCCTGGGCCACCGAAGCAGAGCCTTGAACCTACCCACTTGACACTTGGCCGGCCCCAGAGCCCCTGTGCTTTAAACAAGCTCCCCAGATGATGATTATGACTCTAATGTTCGAAAACCACTGGTTTAGGGCTTGCACACACTTGTAGACGTCGGTTTGATTCTCACACTAGCTAGTATGATCATGGGCAAGTTACTGACTGTCAGCTGACTTTTCAGTTTTGCTGTTTGCAGAATGGAGTTGACATCTTCCTCATAAGGCTGCTGTAAGAAATGAGACAATATCAACAAGCTTAATTTAAATACAAAATTAAGATTAAATATAGGAAAGCTTAATAAGTGGTAGTTTCCATAATAATAATGTTAACATTATTATCGTTATATCAGCTTTATTTCTTACTTCTTAACATAAATCTTGTGCCTTAGACTACTAGTCTGCTTTCAGTAGCCACAGATACTTACGTATTTCACCTCTTGGTGAACTGTTCCCTGAGCCTGGAATGCCACGCTCTATCCTCTGTACTTTAAGTCTGACCTACTGGTGAGTGCAGCTCTCAAGATTCCTTGGTGAAGCTTGTGTCTTCTACTTCAGTCCATGCTGACTTCCTGCCTCTCCGAACTCCCAATACAGTTACCGTCTGTGTGGGACTGAGGATTGCAGTCTATGCAGAACATCTCTTAGACTACAGTGATAACTGCAGTGCGGCCCTGAGGGCTTTGTGGCCTTAGCTAACTAACTGTGTGTGATTGAGGACAGGTGGTTTCCCCCTCTGAAGTACTACTCTTTACATGTTAAAATGATGTTAACACGACCTACTTTTTCAGGAATGTTTTATCACATTAGTAGAACCTAGCACATTATCTGGAATATAATAGATACTCATTAATGGTAGCTGCTGCTAGAATATATTTTTTAAATTGAGGTTTAGAAGATGTCTTGGAGCCTATAAAACAGAAAATAACCCCTCCAAGAGCCAGAATCTGAAAGCATAGTTATCCCCAGTTGATGCTATATGAAATCCCACAGGATGTTATTTAACAAGGGAAATTCAGAAAGTTATTAATAAACTGGGAGAGTTTCCTAAATCACAACTATATGTATTACTGTTTCAGAAAAAGAGGCAATTACGAAATTAAACGTTTCAGTAATATCTGGCTCCTTAACTGAAAGTTAGGATTCTAGTAAGCGTATTTTCGTGCTTAATCATTTTAAATCATTTTAATCTTTTCCAGATAATCTAATTAAGTGATTGACTAGAACTTTTTAATCGCTGAAACCCTGGTAGTCCCATTAATCCTAAAAATTATGCTGCTAAGAAACACCGTAGCATTCTTACTGTTGCTTGGTTACAACACTGCTTTGATTGCGTTTTTATGAAGTATTTTTATGAGATGAAAATGCCTTTAAGAAATAATGTTTTCAGCACATTTGAAACTATTGGCTAGGATATAAAATCTACTTAAAACATTTTGTGACTCTAAAAGTTACTTGTAAGTTTATTAACTTTCTTACTAGTCTGGCTCATCATTGACCCTTGGTTTACCCTCAGAAAGAGCTGGTCATATGGTGGACGTCAGTTTCAGTTTCTCTACTAGAGAAAGAAAATGCAAGAAGGTAAAAAATGACACGATTCTCCTTTACTTCCAACAGATCCCAGATGGATTTTTTGCCCATTTTTATGCCATTTGTGAGCATATCAGCCCTGTCCTAGCCTGGGGCTTTTTGGGTCCTAGAAATTCTCTCTATGATTTATGTTGCTTCTTTAAGGTATGTTCAGTCATTGAATCATTTCTTTTTTCTAAATCAAAGCAAATAAGGTTTTATTCTGTTTCGTTTTTGCTTTTGTAGAAGAAAGAATGTTATTTAAAGATAAAGTTATGAAAGTCACCTAAATGCAGTGTTTAAGTGCCAGTGGAACAGCATTATGTGGGTTTGGTGCTTTATCCTGGGTAGATTCAACCAGTACTTTCACTTTATCAACTCCTCCTGTGATGGGTACATGTTCTTGTGTGTTGTCACAGTGTCCCAATCAAATTGCTGTAGACAGTTTGTTCTTCATGCCTGGACACTTTTGAAATTTATAAAACAAATAATATTTGTCCTTATTGCACATGTGGCAATTCAGAAATAAATTCTGCTTCAAGGTAATCTGAATGGTAAAATCCCAGCTGTGGGAGTTTAAAGTTGTATCCTAATGGCAGCCATTTAAATTTGCCCAAACAGGAATTACTGCTTGTCACCAGGTTCTCTGCCTTGGCACAGTGCCAAGCAAAATCTCACTTTTTAATAGCTTGCATTTTGGCTGAATTTCAAGAAGGAAATAAAAGGAAACATAATCAAGTATGAATCTGAAAGTTTTTGATGTTTGAAAGTTTGGATGTTTCACTATATCCTTCATTAAAACATTACTACGTTTATGTGCTGATAATGTAGCATTCATGTAAATGGTTTAGGAACTGTTTATTTTACTGTCATTCAAAACTCATTAATTTTTGACTAGTTTACTTGACCTCCCAATGTAAGTTGTGTTTAGTGGGAAAAATTTGGAGTGGGAATTAAGTCTGTTATTAATGAGCAGTCTGACTGGGCAAATCGTGCTCTGTCCTTCTTTTCTTCATCTGTGAAATGAGGACACTCAACAAGTTATCTGCTAACGACCCTTCCAGATATAAAATCTAGTGAACCGGTGAAGTGTGCCATCTTAGTACTTCTTAACGTTTGATTTCTGTAGGATCGAAATTAAATATGCCTATCTTTTGCTCTTTGGCATGGCTTTTCTTTGCCATCATAGCATAACAGCCTGCAGCTTAATACTTAGTGGTATACAACTCGCTTAATAAGTCTCAACTGACTGAAATAAAATATCCTTCATGATCTTCCACTGATTTGAGCCTTGAAATTATTTTGATTTTTCATGTGTTTTAAGTTTAGTGGAAATAGTTTATTCTCTGTCTTAAAATAGTACCAGTGCTTCAATTATTGAGAAAGGGCTAATAAATAATAGCCCTTATACAGTGCTTTAGGGTTTACAGGCATTTCCCAGAGATCATTTTTTTATCATCACATGAGCCCTAAAGAGTAAAAAGAACAAGTGGTATTATCCCTTATTTTAAAAAGAAAATGAGACCCAAAAAAGGTTTAATCCCTTGTTCACAGTCCTATTTCCAGTGAGATATGAAGTAGCGCTGGAACTCAGGCCCGCTGACTCCTAATTCAGTGTTTGCTACAATGTTATTAACTACTTGGATTTATATAATTTTAATCTAATAAATGCCAATTTGTTGTGTGTTCATTTTCCAGAATCAAGTTCTTTTCTTTCTCAAAGATATTTTTGACTTCGAGAAGGTGCGCTATTCCAGTATAGAGACTCTGACCGAGGACCTCATGCAGTTGCTCATTCGCCGCACTGAACTCCTGCTGGCCTATCTTGGCGCGGATGCCCTGAGGCACACGAGTGGCTGTATAAGTAGTCATGGCCATGTTGTGTCCAGTAGCCTGTTGGAAGCCAAAGTACAATAAGTACCATGAGAATCATACACTTTGAGTGTGCTATGAAATATTTTAAGGTAACTATTGATTTTGTAACATAGATTACACAGAATTGGTGGATATGGACTCAGGGAGGAAGCAAATCTAGTAAAGAGTGAGTACTTTACTTACATGGGCCGTGCTGTACTTACACAGAAGTTCTGTCATTGACTCCCTGTGTAGCGTATCCAAAGCGGCTATTTAGAATCTTTAGGTAATAATTTAAGTCGTGAAATGTATATTTTACAGAAATATTGCTTGAATTGAAGCCAGTGCTTGGGAGTTCGTCTTGAAGCTGTCTGAAATGTCCAGTATCATTCTCAAAAAGCTCTGTTTTAATGCTTTGCACCTTGAAAATGTCCACTTTAGCCAAGACCTTTGTGGCCACACGTGCAAGAGTGTATTACTCCTAGTGTCAACGAACTTAGCTGTGCTTGAAATTGTATTTTTGACTGTAAAGTCATTCATTTGTTTAGTCAAGTTTAGGCAGTAGTGATGTTTACTACGTACTGCTTACATTATGGCTTGTGCATCTGCTTATGTAATTAAATCAAATTGTAATGGCTAGGTATCGTCATAAAACATTTAAATGAATTGACACTGAGAAGATTACAAGCTACAAATTCATATTAGATTCACTGCAGTTTCCAAATATATTACAGTTGGTCCTGTAAGTTACAATAGAGAGACTGAAGAAATTTCTTGTATCTTTTTATGGATTAGAGCATTTTTCCTTTGAATGAATATTGATTTAAAAGATAATGTTTTTAACTGTGACAGCCAATTAAAATTTTTCCTATGTAGTTTTGAGTCTGTCTCCCATCATGCGAAGATATTAATCTTGGTACCGTAAAATAATTTCTTCTTTCTCCTACAAAAATGGCTTCTAGTTATTCCCACAGAGAACTTAGCATATTGGCAATTTGTCATATTATCCCCGTAGCTTTAAAATATTCATACTTTAACTGTTAGTGAGGTTTTAAAGAAGGTTTTTTTCCCCTCTGAATATAGAAAAAAATATTTTTTAATAGTATGGAAGTATATTTCATGTCCTTTATGATAAATGTATGAACAAATGGGTTGTTCATATGAGTAAGGTTCTTCAGAGGATATTAGCTATTTTCAGAGTTGTATTAGTTTTGTGTCTAAATTATACACCACTTATTTGGAGTGGCTGACTCACTGTATCAATGGATTAGATTTGTTGATTTTGCTCCTAAAATGGGCTTTATTCATTTTAGGAATGAGTTACCCAGAAGGATCTAAAATATATTTTTTAAAAATGCATTTTTAAAGTGCCTAGTTTCTGATTAATGAATAGAAAATGAAAAGTGGGAAAAAATCATAATCTTTTAAGGTTTTAAATTTATGTATATGCCACATTTATGTACTGTTGGCTATAAAATATGAGATTCAGAATCTTTATGCTGTTTGTGCATGTACTGTGTTCCATAATGTGTTTATTACAGCATTAAACAATATGAAATATGCTCTAATATTTTTTGAGTATATAGCTCCTTGACTTTTCTTACATATATTCTTAACTTAGGAATTGGCTATTCATAATTCTTATTATTGATGGAAGGGTATCATTGGATATCACAGCTAAAAATTCCATTATGCAATGTTTCACTTTTTATCTTGTATTTTTAGCTTCTTTTTGAGGCACCACTGGCCTTGAATGATTCACACACATACACACATATACATTCCCATTATCTCATAGGCAAGACAGTTAGTGCCTATATTAATTTTTCCCTTGGGGGTCTAAATGTTATAAGCTATGGTTTTATAAACTAAGCTGTAAGTAAACTTAATTTTTTATTTGAGGAAGATGTTGTTGGAAATCTATTTTGAAGAATTGCACTATTTAATAATGCTGCTACTACGCTGGATAACTCTGGGGAATTTATTTTATCAGATCAGATGAATGGCTTCCCAGAAGGTGTTTTTTTTCTCTTTTACATTTTACCTTTAAAAAACTTGCCCATATTCAAGAGGTTGGTTTGTCAAATTTAGTGCTTGAGTTTGATTAGTTTCTGGTGAGTTCAGTAGCTACTACTTGAGTAAGATGCTTTCTTTGTGGCCTTTGACAAGAGACATGAGTGACCAAATGGAATTTCAGGGTAGTAAGAATAGAAAAAACCTCTCTATTGTAAGGGAAGAAACTTGACCTTTTTAAAAGAAACAGCTCTTAAAATTGTTTCTGACCACAGAAGAGTACTAAGACATATGTTCCAATTTCAGTTTGTCTTGAAATTGGGTTAAACAGCTAAAGCAATATTTTAAAAAACAAAAAATGATTAAACTAGTCTAGAGCCTTTTAGGATAAAACCTTATTTAACACCTACTCTTGATAGTAGTATCAGAAAATTGCCCTTGTCACCATGAGTCCTGCCAGCCACTTCCCTATATCAATTAGAAGAGGACCTGGAATTAGTCCTGAGAAAATGGATTTTTGTCCTCCTGTTTTCTGGAGGAAAAGAGAGAAGTGTTCAGGAGATTTATATTTGGTAATTTTTTTCCTATTTTAGTTTATCTACATTTTTGTTCAACTAAAAGTCTAGTTATTTCTTCTTGAAGGCTTACAGTATGTTTATTAAGAGTCAAAATGAGATGGTCTTTTTTAAAAGAAGACAGGTTTTTCCTACTGTTATAGTCAGCTCCAAAGAGCTTCGTCTCTCAGAAAGCAGTCTTTCTTTGCACTTTTACTATTAATTTGTTGAATTAATGACTTTATAAAAAATATTTGCAAACGTTTTCTTGCCTTAAGATGTAACATTTTCTCCTTAAATGGTTACCTAAGGAGTGATTATTTGCATTACAAAAGAATTCTTTAGTTTATCATTCCTTTAAACTCATGAAATAGGAATGCCAAAGTAACATTTACTATACTTCTCTGTGACCGTTCAGAATCAGAAATTTTAAATTATGTTGATAACATAATTTGCTTTTATTATAATGTAAACACATATTAGGACATTATTTGGAATATACATTTCAAAGGGTTATGAGAGTTAGGCTGAATCCAAATCTTTCGTTTTCTTGCCTGGATTCATCAAATTTAGAATCTCTGTATGTGAGACTTAAGAATTTGTATAATCTGTGATTAATGGAAATAAGGACATCCTTTCTTTGTTCCTAACAATTATGTTATTGTTTTGCTTCGTTGGAGAACAACCACGTATTAGCTTTACTTGGCTGCTAACAGTAAATGTGTCTATTTCCTAAATGTAAGGACTGCGCTTATTAATTTATGGAAAAGTGAGACAATACAGTAGCAGAAAAAATAGCACCGGCTCTTTAGCCAAACTCAGCACTGTAACAGGGGTATATTTCTACTACTGCCAAATAAAACATTGATGGTACAGCCTGCTGATGTATTGAGTATTTTCTGCGATGCTTGTATGTATCTGCAAGGTCATACTTGTCTCCTCCGCCCCTACCCTCTGGGAGCTTCCAGCCTCCACGGGGCCACGTGCAGGCACGGAGAGCACACAACTGCAGCAGCATTGAAATCAAGTGTAAAAGTGTATGTTTTCATCATGTCCTAAGTGGGAGGAAAGACAGTTTTGTGATGAATAACGTCAGAGTACTTGCATTTTAATTAATAATTTAAAGTGTTTTGGTTAATAATGCTACTGAACACAATATAAGTGTATCATATTGCTGTCCGTGCCTCCGGCCCTGTGCAGACGCCCCTTCCCCACCGCTTCTTGGCCAGGGTTCAGATACAGTCAGTCAAGGGGAGGGTGCTGCCTGGACGCCGCTGGAGATACCACATGGCAAGAAGGGTCTACCTGGGTATAAAAGCAGTATTTTTGATTTGGGACTTGTAATAAAGAGGTTTATGTCAGAATGATTAAATATGTACAGTAGAGATAAGTATATATACTTTTTAAACTATTGCGCATAAACTGAAGTACATTACTTAACAAGCAAACCATACAAATAGGAGTCGAATCTTCTCCAGCTCGCGTCTCGGCCTGGCGCTGCAGCGGGAAACGGGGTCAGCAGCCCAGTCTCATCCTCCGTGTTCTTTGTCGTCTGCCAGCCTCCTGGATCCCGCTGCCTGAACTGAATGTTTGGCACTTTAAACCTCTCTCTGCATTTTTCTGTATGTTTGAAATTCCTTTCTACAAGCCTCTCAGTGTCCTCTTACACCCTTTGGAGGCTTTGCTGGAAGTCTCGATCACCTCGCCTGGTTAATCCACGGTCTTCTGTTCTTATGCCGCTTTTGACTTCTGTTTTTCATGTGGTGTTTCTTCCTATGCCCTGTATTCTGCCATCTTTTACCTGCCACTTCTCCTCCTTTAATCTCTCTCTCCTTGTGCTACTGACATCTTTGATCAGGCTGAGCTTCTTTTTTTTGTTTTTTTCCTGCCTCTGAACAGTGAAAAGTAACCATCGTTTGGGTAGGGAAGGACTGAATTCCAGTAGAGGAAAAAAAGGAAAGCTTCCTTCTATGACACTTTTTATTCTTTACTTAGAAGCCACAGCAAAGCAACTGGTACATCAAATACCACCTCAAGTTTGCTTTTAACTGGTTCTTATGTGTCACAAAAGCCTTTCACAAAGTACATTTATATATAGGAAATTCCAGAACTTTTATAATTTGCTGTGTTTGAAATAATACCACAATATTGAATATAAAGGAGCACTTTGACATTTGAAAGCCCTGGAAATATAGGACTTTCAGAACTTTGCTAATTCTTGTATTTAATAACGCTCCGTGAGAGAATAGGCCCTGGGACTTCAAAAAGGACTGGCTGCTTCATGTGGTAGAAGATGGATAATAAAAAAAGTAGGTTAAAGCAGGTGTATTCGTTATCTTTTGTTGTGTAACAAGTCATCCCAAAATTTAGCAACTTGAAACAACAAACACTATTGGACACTGTTTCTGAGGGTTGAGAACCCAGGAATGGCTGGTTCTAGGGGTTCTGGCTTCGGGTCTCTCCCAAGATCGCAGTCATCTGAAGGCTGGGCTAAGGGAGCAAGATTTACCCAAGATTTGCGCACTCACGTGGCTGTCAGGGGGCTTTCGGTCTTTGCCACGTGGGCCTCTTAACAGAGCTGCCTGAGTATCTTTAAAACATGGCAACTGGCTTCTCCCAGAGTGAGTAATCCAAGAGAAATCAAGGCAAAAGACACAGTATCTTTTATAACCTAGACTTGGAAGTGACATACCATCCCTGTGCCACATTCTGTTGGTCACACAGACCAACCCTGACACAACATGGGAGGAGATTACGCGAGGGTGTGAATACCAGGAGGAAGGATCATTTGGGGTCATCTTGGTGGATGGACACCACAGCAGAGAATAGTAATAAATTATATGTAGATCAGGTAGACGTTTTAATTTTAAATGAATAAGTGCACGTTCTTTGGCCAATCTTTTGGTGTAATCAAGGCCTTTTCTTGGAGTATGGATCCACTTGGTATTCCAAATATCTTTGTTGCATAAATTACACCTCTAAATCATCATCTGGGATTTCCACCTTCCTTTACTTAAAGAAAAAAAGTTTACATGAAAAGCAGTGTGTGCTGACTCCCTTTAGATTTTTATAATTTTGAGCCCAATCTTTTACAGTTGTCTTCCCCACACCTAGCTTGATGGTAATTTTGTAGCCTTTATCGAGTCTTCAAAGCATTCAATTTAACTTTTATAAAAACTATAACTTTCTTTTTGCTTTTATATTTCTTCCTTTTTGTAATGTTTATGTAATTTCAGTAACATGCAACTGATATACTCAAGTTTGAGAACAAACCCAACTGATTCATGATACTTATACAAGGGTTGTTTATGCAAATTGGCAAACCTTGGGTTTCTAATACTCTTCCTGAACGTAGCATGTCCAACGCTCATCTGACCGCACCAGCCCGACCCTCCTCCTAGTCCTTCTCATCCCAGTAAATGACAACTCCCTTCTTCCAGTTCCTCAGGCCAAAAACTTCTCCTCACACCTCACATTCAATCTGTTACCAAAATCCTACCAGTTGTACTTAGAAAATGTACCAAGAAAACAAAATGTGCCAAGCGTTTCCTACCACCTTCTCAGCTCTCGCCTCGGTCCAGGCTCACACGACCTGCCCTCCTGGTTATTTTGGACGCCTCCTGATTGATCTCACTCTTCAGTTAGTTTATTTGCAGCACATCAGCCAGAATGAACATGTTCACAGTATGTCAGATCATGTCACTACTTTGTTCAAAGTCCACCCATGCCTGCCCTTCTAACTCAGAGTAAACGCCACAGCCCTCGCTTCGCTGGGCAGGCCTCCGCTGTGTCCCCTGCCCCATCCACTTCCTGTTATTCCAGCTTTGCCCACTCAGCTTCACCCACACGAGCCTCCTTGCTCTTCTAGAACATGGCAGACAGGATCCTTTTTGGGGCCTTTGGACCCCTCCCTGGACCACGCTTCCCCCAGATGTCTCCAGGTGTTTACACGGCTTGTATTTACAGGCATCTCCAGGCATTTACTAGCTCACTGCCTCACTATCCTCAAGACTTACTCACATGAGCCTTTCCCTAGCCATTGCATCTAAAAGTACAATATCCACCCACCCCAGGCCCAGCAGTCCTGCTTCCCTGCTCTGCCTTATCCGTACTGCCTGTCACTAAGTACTACACAGTTTATTTGCTTACTGTCTGCCCTCTTCCACTAGAATCTATGTTCCCTGATGGCAGAGATTTTTATTTCTTTTGTCACTCTGTATCCTCAGTATCTAGAACTGAATATTTATTGAATGAATGATGAATGAATGTTGAATTGGTGGGAGAAGAAGTAGGCCTTTCATGCTGTGGGTAGCTATCAGAGTTTTATAGGAAGAATGGAGAGCTTTGTTCAATCTGGTGAATCCGTTGAGTGGATATCAGCTAAGAGAGCTTGTACGCACTTCTTTAAATTGTAAAAATAAATGTATAATTATAATTGATAAGTGTAGGGAGGAAAAGGGTGGAATGAGAATTTATAATAGGGGGGACTGACATAGACTGGGGTGAAAGGAAAGCTTCTCTGAGAAAGCAACATTTTTTTTTTTGAGGAAGATTAGCCCTGAGCTAACATCTGCCAATCCTCCTCTTTTTTTTTGCTGAGGAAGATTGGCCCTGAGCTAACATCTGTGCCCATTTTCCCCTATTTTTATATGTGGGAAGCCTGCCACAGCATGGCTTGGTAAGTGGTGTGTAGGTCTGTGCCTGGGATCCAAAGTGGAGTGTGTGAACTTAACCCCTACGCCACAGGGCTGGCCCTGAGAAAGCAACATTTAAGCGGACAGCAAAGGCATACGTGGAAGTTAGGTTGGTGAAGAGTGGGGGAAAGGATTTCATGCAGAGTGAACAGCTTGTGCAAAGGCCCTGCAGCCAGAATGACCATGGGAATTTCCATGAACTGAAGAAGGTCAAGGTGATAGTATTGAAGGAAGCAGGGGCAAGCTAGATCATCCAGGCCACCTATCACTATCTTGTATTAGAATAAGTTTAAATAGCTGTTTTAATGACCAATCTAGAACTTTTCTCTAATTGAAAAATGAATGGCTTACACTTATTTATTTATTTTTTTGCTGGGAAAGATTCGCCCTGAGCTAACATCTGTTGCCAATCTTCCTCTTATTTTTTTTTTCTCTCCCTAAAGCCCCAGCACATAGTCGTATATTCTAGTTGTGAGTCCTTCTAGTTCTTCTATGTGCCCTACCACCACAGCATGGCTACTGACAGACAGGTGGCAGTTGCGAGCCCAGCTGTGGAGCCTGGCCAGGGCACTGAACTTTAACCACTAGGCCATCAGGGCTGGCTTGGCTTACACATCTTAGAAGAATTTCCATCCTGAGTAAACGGTGTATGGCGATGGGGTGGAGAAGAAAAGTTATAGTTAAGAGCAGAAGGCCTTTTCAACATCCCTGAAAATATGATCTGAGTACCACTGTCCAGGGCTGCAAGCGGGAAGTGGTTGACACTGGTGTATCTGTGTGGAAGCATCAACTTTTAATTAATTAATTTCATTTTCTGCACGCAGTGAAGAATCGAAGATCTCCCCCACTGGAAAAATGCCCCCTCTGGGTGAGCGTTTCAGGTTTTAACATGGATTGTCTGATGGGTTCAGTTGACAGGCTGGTGGGCCAGGTGGAAAAGGTCGTGGCGGCTAATCTCCGGAGATATTTTATGTAGTTTTAGGAAGACCAGAGATGATTTGCCTTCAATTAAGGAAAGGTGGAAGATTATATAAATATCATTTTCTTTTATTCCTCCTCCTTCCTGTCCTTCTTCCACTTTTCTCTATCAACCACTCTTTTTTTTTTAATCTTTTTTTTTATTGAGTTATTGATAGGTTACAATCTTGTGAAATTTCAGTTGTACATTAATGTTTGTCAGTCGTGTTGTAGGTGCACCACTTCACCCTTTGTGCCCACCCCCCACCCCACCTTTCTCCTGGTATCCACTAAACTGTTCTTGGTCCATAGTTTTAAATTCCTCATATGAGTGGAGTCATACACAGATTATCTTTCTCTCGCTGGCTTATTTCACTTAACATAATTCTCTCAAGGTCCATCCATGTTATTGCAAATGGAATGATTTTGTTCTGTTTTGCAGCTGAGTAGTATTCCATTGTATATATGTACCACATCTTCTTTATCCATTCGTCTGTTGATGGGCACTTAGGTTGCTTCCACGTCTTGGCTATTGTAAACAGTGCTGCAATAAACATTGGGGTGCACAGGACTTTTGGGATTGCTGACTTCAGGCTCTTTGGATAAATACCCAGTAGTGGGATGGCTGGATCGTATGGTAGTTCTATTTTTAGTTTTTTGAGGAATCTCCATACTGTTTTCCATAGTGGCTGCACCAGTTTGCATTCCCACCAGCAGTGTATGAGGGTTCCTTTTTCTCCGCAACCTCTCCAACATTTGTTGCTATTAGTTTTAGATATTTTTGTCATTCTAACGGGTGTAAGGTGATATCTTAGTGTAGTTTTGATTTGCATTTCCCTGATGATCAGCGATGATGAGCATCTTTTCATGTGCCTATTGACCATCAGTATGTCTTCTTTGGAGAAATGTCTGTTCATGTCTCCAGCCCATTTTTTGATTGGGTTGTTTGATGTTTTGTGGTCGAGTTGCGAGAGTTCTTTATATATTAAGGATATTAAGCCTTTGTCAGATATATGACTTGCAAATATTTTTTCCCAGTTAGTGGGTTGTTTTTTTGTTTCAATCCTGTTTTCATTTGCCTTGAAGAAGCTCTTTAATCTGATGAAGTCCCATTTGTTTATTCTTTCTATTGTTTCCCTTCTCTGAGAAGGCATGGTGTCCGAAAAGATCCTTTTAATACTGATGTCAAAGAGTGTACTGCCTACGTTTTCTTCCAGAAGCCTTATGGTTTCAGGTCTCACCTTTAGGTCTTTAATCCATTTTGAGCTTATTTTGGTGAATGGTGAAAAAGAATGGTCATTTTCATTCTTTTACATGTCTGTCAACCACTCTTTGGAGTTAAAAAGCAGAGCCAAGAAAGGGAGAGCAACAGAGAGATGAAGTGGTACCCTGACTGCTGCCCTCGCTCTCAGCAAGAAAAGAGAAGTAGGCCCAAGTAGGCCCAAGGGGAAAATAAGGTAGTGGCTTGGCCTCTTGGTTAGAAACCAGAACTGGTAGAGTAGCCGAGAAATGGGGCCCAGGGCAAACCAGCCGGAGGTCGCGGGGAGCCAGCTCAAGCCTGTTTATGAATCCCATTTCAGTATCACTCCTTCCCCGTCCCTGGCCCCTGCCGGGAGGTGGAAGCAGACTTAGGGGAGGGGGTCAGCGACCCAGAGCCGGGCAACAGGCGGGTCCCGGCGGAAAGTTGGCAGCCACCGCCCCCTCGGCCGCCCTGCTCCTCGACTCTCCACCCTCCCCGGGCGATACGGCGGAGGTGGGGGTTGGGGAACTGGCCTTGTGTTTTGGAACAGCTGCAGCCGGCGCTGGGCCCGCCTGGAATGCGGGAACAGGCTGCGCACCAGGACTTTTATGGAAACTTGCTGTCGGAGACGGCGGCGGCGGCGGCGGCAGCCAGAGAGCTCCCGGCGGCGGCGGCCGGAGCGCGCAGACCCCTGCCCACCGCCAGGCGCAGCACGCGCGCAGCCTCTCCGCGCAACCAGGACGCTCGCGGGTCGCGGGCCGCTGGCGGGTGAGAGGAGTCGGGGGAACGCGGGGCGGGGGCGGCGGAGACGGAGGTGTCGGGTCCCCGCGGGCGGGGCGGGGCTGCAGGGCGACGCTCCCGGATCGCCGGCTGCGGGCCGGGCTCTGCCGCAGCCCCGGAGCGCGCCAGGCTCCGTCCCGCTGGGGCCCCGCGCTGCTCCCGCGCCCGAGCGAACCGGCCCTCGGAGCCCGTCCTGCGGGCTCGGCGGGGTGCGGACCGGGTCTGCCTCGCTGTCTCTGCATTCACCGGCCTCCGGCTTCGGGGTGGCTTCCCTGCCCCGGTCCCCTTTCTGCTCCGCTTGCGCCCTGTCTGTTGAGTTTCGGGTGCTTCCTCGACTCCTGCAGGGGAAGAGCCCTCCGTGAGCGGAGCGGGTGCCGGGCCCTTTGCTCTACCCTTGGGGTCTGGGTAAAGTTCAAGGTGGTCCCACCACGTGCCCCGGCGCCGTCGCCGTCTCCGCCGGGCTGCCTGTGATTTTCAGTCATTCTTGATCTGTCCCTGTGGAGGCTGGGGAGTGAAATGTGACAACAGCCTATCATCTACCCTCTCCCTCCAAACGGTTTTTTCGCGATTCTGTCTGAGGTGGGATGTTGGGGGTTGTGCAACTTCAGCTGGAAGTTGGAGTGAATAATGTAGTCACCTCTTGAGACCTCCCTTGTGTATATTTTTGAAAACTCCAAGCCATTCCAACTGTGTTTGTAGACGGTGAAACGGTCTGCAAATGCTAAACACCTATTATTGGCATTTGTAAAGAAAATAACCAGTTGGAGAGGTTAGCTGATTATTGCAATAGCTTCGAGGTCTTCATTTTATATTTATTTAAGGTCCGTAACATGAACAAAGAGAGTTGGAAGGGGGCGGGCATGGGGGAGGGAGGGGGACAGGCCAACAAGGTAAAAATAGCATAAGGATATGTCCTAACAAAATGTCTGTCCTTGGGAAAGAGGCAGGTGCAGAAAAGAAGCAGCCATAATAAGAAAGAAATTAGTTCCATGAGCGAAGCAATGGGAGCATCATTCATCAGCTAAATTTTGTTAATGAATTCATGTAACGGGCCCATTGGCCGGCGAGTCACAACATAACTATGTGTTGGGTAGTATGATTAAATAAACTTAAGTATTTATACCATCTTAGTCACACGTCACTGAGTGAACCACGTTATTTGCCCCCCAATCCTTTTACAGGTTAAATCGCTGCCGTAAGAAAACTCCGAATACACGTAAGTCTGTGACATTCTTTTGAGTTTTGAGCAATGGTAAGGTGGAAAAATGCATAATTAATCAAACTGAGGGACAGGGTTTTGGGGAGGCCTATTTAGTATAAATGGACTTTGATATTTAATGTACTTAGTTAAGATTCCTCTTGACAGCCAGTAGCCCCTTATTTTTGAAGATATTTTGTATTTTGACTGGAATAATTTTTTTTAATGTAAGCAATTCTGTATTTTATAGGCAACAACTCCTGTAAAGAGCCCAAAGGGAAAACCACAACAAAATTCTTTTAAATCCAGTTTCCCTCAATACGGTATTGATGTAATTCAGTTTTAATAGAAGATTCACACTTTTAAATCCATTTTAAGCTGAAATGTAGTGAATAGCAGTTTTTCCTGCCCACCTTACATTGGGATCTGTGCTATTTTTGAAAATTTGATATGTAAGACTGATCATTGTCAAAATGTATGTCATCTTGAGATGCCTATATTTAGCATCAACCAAGGAAGGCATTATCTAGGTTTTTGAACAGTATTTTTCCCCTGAAATTACACTTGAAGTATTTAGGTTAGGGTTTCATTTGTGAAGAGAATGAAAACTGAATATGTATATTTGGAAGAGATTAGTTGGGGATTTAGATTGCTTAGAACTCGACTGGCCTGAAATGACATTCATTTAGGAAATAAATAAATAAATAAATAAATAAATAAAACCTACTATCTTTGAAACACCCTAAAGGCAAATTAAAGCATTGTTTAAATAAAGACTCATGCCTAAAAGGCAGCGAACAATGCAGTAAACGTAGAAAAGTATATCGCAGATGGCAGATGTCTCCAAGCTTTTACAGAAGAGAGGCCTCAGTATGTTTTACAGTGTGTAGGCCACGCACACACAGAAAACGTCTTGGTAGTCTGCTTTATAATTTAGAGGGGAAATGACCTACAACATTCTTAACTTTCTGTTCTTATTTGATTACTCTGTGGTCATTTCTTTCTTTCATGTTCTCTTTCTTCTGGTTTTATAATTGCAAAATTAGGTATTATTTACAAACCTGGAATTGGGATTGTTATATTTTCTTTTTCTATTTAAATATTCAGAGCATAGTTTGGCTTGAATTATGGTAGTATACTTTCTACACTCTGGAGGGGTGGATTTTTACCCAGAAATCCAACTTATTTAACTCTTAGTCAAATTTGTTTTTTATTATAAAGTTAATACCACCATATTATATATATGGTTAAAAATTACAGAGAATGGGGGACAGGCCCAGTCGCTCAGCGGTTAAGTGCACAGGTTATGCTTTGGTGGCCCTGAGTTTGCCGGTTCGGATCCCAGGTGCGGACATGGCACTGCTCATCAAGCCATGCTGTGGTAGGCATCCTGCATATAAAGTAGAGGAAGATGGGCACGGATGTTAGCTCATGGCCAGTCTTCCTCAGCAAAAAGAGGAGGATTGGCGGCAGATGTTAGCTCAGGGCTAATCTTCCTCAAAAGAAAGAAAAGTTATAGAGAATGGAAAAGGGGCTCTCAAAATCGGACACATCTGTTAATATTCTGATAGATTTCCTTCTTTTCCTGATGCATAGGATTTTTTTTTTTTGAGTTGCCAGATCTCAGCGAGGCTACCTGTGTGAAAGCATCTGATACATCTGCCATCCAGTAAGTGTTCAATAGCTGGTTCTTTTTCTGCCCTCTCCTCCTTTTTTTCCGTCTTGTCATCTCTTCCTTTTTGATCTCCGATTAGAAGACAGGGAGGTTGGGGCTCCCTCGGCTGGGTTTTGAAGTTAGTGAAATTTGACTTCCACCTTCTTTCTGTGCCTCTTTCCCGTCCTTTCCTCCCCTTTGACTCTGCCTCCCTCTTTCTGGCCAAAATAGGCCTCCCCTTTGTCTTTTTCCATTTTCTCAGTGCTGTCTGTTCATTTAGATCAAGGGCCACAAATTGGCAGCCAAAAAGCCACTTTCAGCCGCAGACATACATAAAAACTTGTACATTTTATATTAAAATATGGATTTCTAGCCTTTCTTGAAAAATTGAAAGATCTTGATAAAACTGGATCCACATTTCTGCATAGCAACAATACCCTGGATCTAAGTAGTGGCTCCCCCCTCAGACAGGGCACACACTCTCATTTTGACACAGTCTCCAACGTTCCCTATTGTTTTACAACTAGTCATCACTCATTTCCCTTACCTGTCAATTCTGCTATGTAACATTAACTTACATTACATTTGCAGTACCTGAGCCCGCACACTTGAGTATGCACTTGAGTCCCTGATCTAAGTGTTACGGCAAATCTGAAGTCGGGATATGATGGGAAGTCCGCTGGACTTGGCATCAGGAACCTGGACTTCCAATGTCTTACATACCTCTTGGTTAGCAATCCTTCTCTTAAATGATGTGATCATGGGAATGGGAAGAGGAGGTTAACATTCCTGGACACTAATTGCTAGTGTCAATTTGAGCTGGAAGGGACCATGTATTTCTAACTAAGACAAATAAAATATTTTAACTGTTGAGATTTTAAAAAGCACAGGGGAGATAGTTCTGGGAAAAAAATCTTTCCTAGGAACCCTTAAACAATCCGCCTCCCTCGCCGTCTTAGAAGCGTTCAGGAGAGTTTTTGCGACGCCTAGAGATTGGTCCTAAAGAAGAGCTAACTCCTGACCTTCCTCTGCCTCCTCACCCCACCCGCTTGTTTGGAGCCAGAGGCCTGGGGCTTCCCAGTCCCAGCTGTGTCCTTCATCGGAAAGCTGTCTTCCACTTGCAGAGGGTGAGGAGACCAGCTCCTCCATGGACGACCACGTCCATTAGCTTGGGAAGCCAACTTCCTAAAGCCCCGAATGTCTGGTTTTTCGTGATATCTAGTTTAATGTAAACCTGCTCCATTTTATTTTATTTTCTATTATTCATTCATTCATGCATCCTCATCATCGGCCCTTGTTTTGGAGATTTCAATCATAAGCTTTACTTGGGCTGATTTTGGATTAGTTTTCTTTTTGCCTCTTTGTCATTCATCCACTCTATCAAATATGAATTGAGCTTGTACTGTGTCCTAGTTGTTGTGTGAGACAGTAAAGATAAAGAATGGAGTAGAACACAGTGCTTACCTTTCAGAGGCTCATGGTATGGTGAATCCTCTTTGAAAAATACAGTCACATGAATGCAAAATATTATAGATTATTAATACAGAAGAATGTCAAGGAAGCTTGAAAATAAGGTTCTTGGTTATCAGGGAAGAATTGTGTATTGGCAGGAGAAAACAAATCTTACTATTTCTGATGGGTAAAATTGGATGTAATTTCATGTTTTTGAATTGTGATCAGATTTTGTAATATAAATTTTAAAGTATAAGGTTAAAACCCTCATTAATTAAATGTAATAGTTACATTATATTTAAATTTACATTTCTTGTACAAGTGAAAAATTTAGGCTATTTTATGAAGTTCAAAACAACGTTGTTTGTTCCAACGGCTGTAAAGAGGTAGGTTTTAACACTGACTTGTAGTATACGGTTAAGTGTTCTGTCTAAAACCTTCTTAAAATTTGAGACAAAGAATTTACTTGAGTTTAATGAAATGCAGATTTAAAGCTGTCACTGTCTTGAGAATTCTGTTCTCCTTGAAAAAGGAGATAATACATTAACACAATAAAACAGTTCATTATAAAGGATAGAGAGGTAGGATTTAAAATTCTTTTCTTCTTCCTGCGTTATTTGCCGTCTTGAAATATTTTAATTGCAAATCTAAAAAAAGTCAAGGAAAATTAATTAAATTTAGAAAATTTAGAGGTCAAACAGGTTCAATGAAATTCTAGAACAGAAACATTAGCATGCATATTTTAAGATAGATCTGTTGTACTTAATATTATATTCTTCTGTGAGACTTACATCTTGTCTCACAGCCTGAGCTTCATACCTTAATATTCACCCTGGAAATTATTTTATAACAGCCCAAAAGTATATCCTGTTCTTGAAACATATTTTATCAGGCCATTAAATCATTTTCAAAAACTTCTGGAAGTCTGTCTCACTAATTGCTATGCCAGTTGTTACCAATGTTAGTATTACCATTGGGCATATTTTATATATATATATACATATATATGTATATATATATGTATATATATAAAAGGTTTCGTGTTCTTAGGTAAAAAATGGAGAATGCTAGATGGAAATGAGTAGTTAATTAAAAGTCAAGAAACCTGGAGTCTAGTTCCTTCTCCTGCTACTGAACAACTTGCAGCCTCGGATAAGTCAGCGAATCTCTCTGTGCTTCTCGTTTTTTCACGTGATGAATGAAGCTGGTTGGACTAAGTGATCTTTTAGTCCTTAGATGATGAGTCCTAAAAATCCATGATTCTTCATCATGTATGACCAGACCCCACATGTAACTCTGACAGGTAGTAAAACCTGTTCAAAACTGAACTCATTTTCTGACCCCTCAAACATGCTTTTAAATTTAATCTCAATAAATGGTAACCCTGTCCACCCATTTGCTCAAACTAGAAACCTGGAGTTAATTCTTTTTTTTTTAAAGATTGGCACCTAAGCTAACAACTATTGCCGATCTTCTTTTCTTTTTTTTCTGCTTTTTCTCCCCAAATCCCCCGGTACATAGTTGTATATTTCACTTGTGGGTCCTTCTGGTTGTGGCATGTGGGATGCCACCTCAGCGTGGCCTGACGAGGGTGCCATGTCTGCGCCCAGGATCTGATCCAGCGAAACCCCAGGCCGTCGAAGTGGAGCAGGTGAATTCAACCACTTGGCCACGGGGCCGGCCCCTGGAGTTAATTCTTGACAGTATTCCTTTCCTCACCTCTCCCCTCCAAATCTAACTGGCCAAAGTTCTTACGATATTGCCTCCACTACAATGTCAGTTCCCTAGAGGCCGAGACTTTGTCCTTTTGTTCATGGTGATCTCTCCATAGCCTAGGATAGGGCCTGGCATAGAGTAGGAGCTTAATAAATACTTGTTAAATAAGTGGATGAATGGGTCACCATTCCTGTCAATCCCACTTCTAAGGTGTCTCCTCCAACTTTTCATTCCTAATGCCACTCTTAATTCAGGCACTCATCTTCCCTCTGTATTTGTCCTCCTCCTTGTAGTCTTTCCCCATTTCACTCCAATTTTCTGCACTGCTATCAGAGTCTCTTTTTTCTTTCTAGAATGCATACCAGATTAAGTCACATTCCTGCTTAAAAATCCCTTGCTGGCCCCCCCTTGCCTATAGGATCAAGTCTAAACTTTTTCTTAATGTGGCATTTAGGAATCTTCCCAGTCTGTGCCCAGCCTGTCTTTCTAGTTTTACCGTCGATTCGCTGGACAACTTACAGCTCCCCAAATTTGCAGTGGATTGTCAGACATTGGTGTTTTTGCTCATGTTGCTTTGTTTCCCTGGATGCCCTTACCCACTTTTCTACTTTATGAAATCCTGCTTATCCTTCAAGGTCTAAATCAAATGTCACCATCTCTGTGTAACCTTCCTTAACCCCAGCTCCCTGCTTAACCCTTCCATAGTCTTTTCCATGACTTTTCCATGTTTCTTTAACCGTGTGTATATGCTGCTATTATAGCACCTACTACTTTGTATTATAATTACTTGTGGTCCCATCTGTTTCACTCTAGAAAGCAACTTGATTTCAAAGGCTATCTCATACATTGTATATCCCATCACCAGTCATAATGTCTGGCATACGGTAGGTTGTCCTTCTCACAAAAATGCTATATTAGAAATACAGACCTAATCTGTCAAATGTGAAAAAAAATACAAGCTTTTTGATAAATCATGGGCAGGCTATAGCAATATTGCAATATTCCCTCTGAAACCTGTGATAGATACTTAGTTGTCTTCATTTAACGTGGATCTGAATGTGCTAGAATGGCCTTGTTTCATCTCTTCATTGTCCCAGCTTTCTTTATTATGACCAAACTCTTGTTGATGAGCCACATGTTCAAGCTGACCCTTTGGTCAGTGTTTTCTCTCTACTAGTCTTGATGATAATTCAGCTGGCTTGCCTGAGATCTCAGACACTTAGAAAAGTGCAGTGGGGCTGAATTGTTGTGTTGCTGCTGCCCCTTTAGGGTGGCCAAGGACATTGCATCTGTCTGCTTGGACAGAAGAAAAGTCACTTAATACTAGATTAAGAAAAGTCTGTGAGATTCCAGATATAAAATCCTTTAAAATTCAGGTTACTGAGTATAGGAATTGAGTCGTTAAACTAATCTTCATTTAGCGTTCTAAAATGCAATGAGGGACTGCTCACCCTTTTTACAATGGGACCTGACATGACTTGATAGACTGTTCTTTCCTATAATTCAGTAAGTCTCAGAATGTGGTCTTAGAGTCCCTGGGAGTCCCCGTGACCTTTTATGGGCCTATAAAGTCCTTCGTTTTCCAATCACATATCTGTGTGAAGCCATATTTTCTTTATAAACTTCAGTCAAAACAACGTGTCACAACAGTTTGAATGAGATATGAGAGTACCTGTCTTTTATTAAGCTAGATATTAAAAAGATGTGCAAAAATGTAAAACAGTGCCGCTCTTCTTACTAATTATTTTTATTTTGGAAAATATAGTTATTTTTCATAAAATGTGTTTATATTGACATATAATGGGTTTGTTATTATTAATTTAAATAACTTAATAAGTATATATTTG